TCCATAAGGTTTCCGGCACCCTGTTCAAAGTTTGGCTTTGAGTCTCAGTATCTCCTTCCATACCCTGGTGGGTAGAGTCAGTGGTCCTCTGTGGAAGGCTCCTGTCCTGTTCCTTTTCTTTTCCTACTTCTACTCTATCCTGTTTGCTCTTCTGAATGAGGATTAACATCTTCCCTAGGGTCCTCCTTGTTGTTTAGCTGCTTTAGGAGTATAGATTTTAGTATGTTTATTCTATATTATATGGCTAACATCTACTTATAAGTCTTTACCTTATGTGTCTTTCTGCTTCTGGGTTACCTCACTCAGGATGATCTTTTCTAGTTCCCACCATTTGCTCTCAAATTTCATTATTTCCTCGTTTTTAATTGCTGAGTAGTATTCCATTGTGTAAATGTACCACACTTTCTGTATCTATTCCTCCAATGAGGGACATCGAGGTTGTTTCCAGATTCTGGCTATTACAAAAAAAAAAAAAAAAAAAAAAAAAAAACTGATATGAACATAGTTACATAGTTGATCAAATGTCTTTATTGAATGGTAGGGCATCTTTTGGCGTATATGCCTAGGAATGGTATAGCTGAATCTTGAGATAGTACTATTCTTAATTTTCTGAGAAAGTGCCAGATTGATTTCCAAAGTGGTCATACAAGGTTACAATTGCACCAGCAATGGAGGAGGGTTCCTTTTTCTCCACAACCTCTCCAGCATGTCCTGTCACTAGAACTTTTGATCTTAGCCATTCTGATGGGTGTGAAGTGAAATCTCAGGGTCATTTTGATTTGCATTTTTGACAAATAAGCCAAAACCATACAATGGAAAAAAGCATCTTCAACAAATGGTGCTGATCTAACTGGATGTCTACATGTAGAAAAATGCAAATAAACTTGTATTTATCACCTTGCTCAAAGTTTAAGTCCAGGTGGATCAAAGACTTCAACATAAAACCAGACACACTAAATCTCTTAGAAGAAAAAGTGGGGAAGAGCCTTGACCTCATTGACACAGGAGACTACTTCCTGAACAGAACACCAACAGCACAGGCTCTAAGATCAACAACTGAAAAGCTTCTGTAAAGCAAAGGACACTGTCATTAGAATAAAATGACAGCCTACAGACTGGGAAAGGATCTTCACCAACCCTCTATCAGACAGAGGGCTAATATCCAGAATATGTAAAGAACTGAAGAAGTTAAACAGCAACAAACCAAGTAATCCAACTAAAAAATGGAGTAGAGAGCTAAACAGAATTCTCTGTAGAGGAGTATCGAATGGCAGAGAAACACTTAAAGAAATGCTCAATGTCCTTAGTCATTCGGGAAATATTTTGGCTTTTGATGCAGAGTTTTACCATGTTACATTAGCTGACCTGGCCTTTGGTACACAGCCTCAGGCTGGCTTTCAATCTTGGTAGTACTGAGTCACAAATGTGCATCAGTATTAATAAGGTTATCATCTGTTAAAATATTTCATCATTTTTTAAAGGTGGGAAATCGTATTGAGAATTAGACCCAGAACCTCATGCCTCCCAGGCAAGTCCTCTATAGCTAAGCTACATTGCAGCCCAGCAAGTTTGAATTAACTTGTTTGTTACATGTTTTTGAGTTCTTTGGCTTTAGAAGAGTTTGGATTAAGTAAGCCTGTATTTAGAAACTGACATGGAAACTTGCAAATATACTGTACAAACAAAAGCACACCTTCAGGTAACGCATAGTAATCATTAAAATAAACCAAATCAAAAGGCCTGTAGAGTCTTCATGACACATGATCTCTAATTCCTAATTCGTGCTTCTAAAGGTATTACTCTTAGTGAAACCAAGGTAGAACATTTTCATTAAAGAGTATAGGACTTAACCTATTGTTGGCCTTAACAGAAAAGGGAGAATCAATCAAGGATAAAACTAGTGATGAAGACTTAAGGCAAAATCTTTTGCTCTGTGAAGAACTAACCAGCACGAGGGAGATACCCTAACAAACAGAAAGTGTTTCCTTTTAAAGATGTGTGTGTGTGAATGTGTGTGTGTGTGTGTGTGTGTGTGTGTTTGTGGGTGAATGCCGCATGAGTGATGATGTTTACCAAGGCCAGAAAAGGGTAAGACAGGTCCCTGCAAACTGGAATTATAGGCAATTGTGATATTGGAACAGGGAAGCCCAACTCAGGTCCTCTTGAAGAGCATCAAGTGTTCTTTGCTGCTAAGCCATCTCTCCAGCCCTGAAAATTTCTCTTTTAATACCATTTTTTGATAAAAATTTATCTACCTTCTTATTTATAATGACATGAAACTATATCCCCTGTGATCATGGATGCATCCAAAAGAAAATGGGAGGAAGAAGAAAATCTCAGGACAAATTCAGATTGAGTTCCCCTGTGAACTAGGTATTGCTGGCCTGGCACATTTTCTTTCTTTTTTTTTTTTAATTTTATTTTTCTCATTAGTTACATTTTGTTAATTCTGTATCCCTCATTCCCTCCCCAGTCCCACCCTCCCTCCCTCATCTCCTCCCTGCCCCTTTCCAAGTCCACTGATAGGGGAGGACCTCCTCCCCTTTCATATGACTCCGTTTTGTCAGGTATTTTCAGGACTGGCTGCAAAGTCCTCCTCTGTGGCCTAACAGGACTGCTCCTCACTTGGGAGGTGAGGAGGTCAAAGAACCAGTCATTAAGTTCCTGTTAGAAATAGTCCTTGTTCCCCTTACTATGGGAAACCAATTGATTACTGAGCTATCACGGGTCACATCCGAGTAGAGGTTCTAGGTTTTATCCTCTCATAGTCTTTGGTTGAATGTCCATCTCAGAAAAGACCCTGTGCCCAGATATGTTTGGTCCTTGTGGAGCTCCTATCCTTTCCCCATCAGACTAACTCCCCTTCTTTCATATGATTCCCTGCACTCTGCCAAGGGTTTGGTTATGAGTCTTAGTATCTACTTTGGAACACTGCTAGGTAGAGTCTTTCAGATGCCTTCTGCGGTTGACTCCTGTCATACATTCAATGCATATTCCATTTGTCTTTCTAAATGAGGATTGATCATCATACCCCGTGTCTGCTTTCTTCATTATCTTCTTTAGGTGTATAGATTTCAATATGTTTATCATATCTTTTAGGTCTATATAAGCGAGTATATTCCATGTTTGTCTTTCTCCTTCTGGGATACTTCACTCAGAATGATCTTTTCTAGATCCCACCATTTGCCTGCAAATTTCATGATTTCCTCTTTTTTTATTGCTGAGTAGTATTCCATTGTGTAAAAATACCACAATTTCTGTACCCATTCCTCCGTTGATGGACATCTGGGTTGTTTCCAGGTTCTGGCTATTACAAATAAAGCTGCTACAAACATGGTTGAGCAAATGTCCTTATTGTCCTTGAGCAAATTTTGGGTATATGCCTAGCAGTGGTATAGCTGGGTCTTGAGGAAGCACTATTCCTAGTTGTCTGAGAAAGTGCCAGATTGATTTCCAAAGTGGTTGTACCAGTTTACATTCCCACCAGCAATGGAGGAGGGCTCCCCTTTCTCCACAACCTCTCCAGCATGTGTTGTCACTTGAGTTTTTCATCTTGGCCATTCTGATGGGTGTAAGGTGAAATCTCAGGGTCGTTTTGATTTGCATTTCCCTGATGGCTAATGATGTTGAGCATTTCTTTAAGTGTTTCTCTGCCATTCTATATTCCTCTACAGAGAATTCTCTGTTTAGCTCTGCTCCCCATTTTTTAATTGGATTACTTGGTTTGTTGCTTTTCAGCTTCTTTAGTTCTCTGTATATACTGGATATTAGCCCTCTGTCAGATAAAGGGTTGGTGAAGATTCTTTCCCAATCTGTGGGCAGTTGTTTTGTTTTGATGACGGTGTCCTTTGCTTTACAGAAGCTTTTCAGTTTCATGAGGTCCCATTTATTGATTGTTGCTCTTAAAGCTTGTGCTGTTGGAGTTCTGTTCAGGAAGTTGTCTCCTGTGCCAATGAGTTCTAGGCTGTTCCCCACTTTTTCTTCTAACAGATTTAGCGTATCTGGTTTTATGTTGAGGTCTTTGATCCACTTAGACTTTAGTTTTGTGCAGGGTGATAAATGTGGATCTATTTTCATTTTTCTGCATGTAGACATCCAATTAGACCAGCACCATCTGTTGAAGATGCTATCTTTTTTCCATTGAATGGTTTTGGCTGCTTTGTCAAAAATCGAGTATTCATAGGTACATGGGTTTATTTCTGGGTCTTCTATTCGGTTGGCCTGGCACATTTTCAAAAGTGGAAATGTATTTATGAGCTGCCTGCCTGAAACAAAACTAAAGGCCATAATATATGTATGAAGAAGAAGAAGATGAAGAAGAAGAAGAAGAAGAAGAAGAAGAAGAAGAAGAAGAAGAAGAAGGTCCTCATATAACATTATAGGACAAAGAACTTTCTAAGATGGCATAGATGCCATAAGAGTGACTAGTTTCCCCCGGAGGGACTCCCTTGGAGAAAACTAAGTTTTTCATTGCAACTGATTATCAGTTGGAGATAGCTTCTGGGTTAGAGATGGGGCATGTGTCCACTTCTCCTTTTGGTTCTGACCCTAGGTTTCTTGATAGTAAAGGCTTCACTCATCTAATTGGTGTCTTTCATATTCCCAGTTCCTATGGCCAGGAATTCTTTGTTCAGTTGCTATCTTGGATTGATACCCAGATATTTCAAATATAATACAGCTCTTGGTGGAAGCGATTTTCACTGAAATTGAAATAAGATATTTTATCCCTATATGCACAAAAATGTGTTCTCTCTATTAACAAATTCTAAAATGATGTATCTGGAATAAATTAACTCTAATGTGACATGTTTTTGTTTGTTTGTTTGTTTTTCTTTTTCTTTCTTTTTTTTTTCTTCAGTGGAAATTGAGTTGATAACTTGTATTTTCTTGTATACAGCTTCTTGCGGTCCAAGCATGAGGATTGCTGAACTTGTATCCATGGTTTTTCCATCATATTTTAAAAACTGCAATTTACTGAGTCTGATTTTGTGTTAAAACAGGTGCCACAAGTTCATCAGGGTACAGTACATCTGGACCACCCAGTACTCCAGGTAATTTGATTTGTGACTTATGCAAATATAAGTTTGAAATGTTCTGTTGGTTACTCATTTACTGGGAAATTATATCACTGTGTCACTGTGTTAACAATATTGAGCCTGTTAGCACTTCCTGAGTAAACGGTTTAGGGGACCAATCAGGTGTTTAAATAAATTTCATGACTAAGAGACAAATAATGTTTTATGGGAATTTTAATAAAGCATAACACCACTTCTCCTTTATCATTTTAGGCAAAATTATAAAGTATTCTAAATAAATTAGGAATATTATTTATGTCCGTACAATCCAAGTAAAGCTAATCCATGGTAAAGAGAGTGGTTAAACAATACATAAGCAGACAATAACATCATTGTGAAAAGTATTTAAAATTTTCCTGAAATACTTACTTTTGTTATGGTTGACATTCTGGAATTTTAATCCTGACTCTGAGATTTCAAATCAAGTTACTTATTTGCAATACACAAGAGGATTTGAAATTTCAAGGTATCCATATTCTTCTTTGATCTAGGAAGATTTTATTTTCCATGAGCATATGTAATTGCACTATTAGATAATAGTTTGGTAGACTAAACTGCACTTTTGGCTTGCTTGTTTGTGGCTTCTAATAAATATTTGCTTATAATATTTTATTTCTGCAAGCAGACTAGATAGCTGTATAATATATGGGTCATGTTAGTGCTTGTGCATGATGGCAATGAATTGTCCCTTAAGGATTTCAAGCCATGCAATGCCTGACTGGGCCCAGAAATGAAACTGGATTTCCAAGATAAATCATGAATATGAATTTGGCAAATCCCAGTTCTCAAGAGCAATTTTACACCTTCAGGTTAAAAAACAAACAAACAAACAAACAAACAAACAAAACGTACCTTAGTGGACAACATTTAACCTTCCACTTAAAAATCCCATATCCTTTTAAGTACATGTTGAATCAATGTATGTCTAAACTTAAATATTATCTGTATTTTGTGTTGAATAGAAAAAGGCTCCCATGTTCCAGAAGCGACTCCCACATACTCAGAAGCAAACGAAGTTGTTGGTAAGGAAACACAATTCAGTGTGCATTCTTATGTTTAGACCTAACCCAGTACCTCACAGAGGTCACAAAGTAACTAAAACCTACAACTAATTAAAAACAAACAAACAAACAAACAAACAATCTCTCCTTCAACTGTTTGTCTGACCAATGCAAGTTTGAATGACACCACACTTACGTTGTTTGCTTCAAATGCACACAAATGCAACACACACATACATGTTTATACTTAAAAATTGTAATCTAATTTTTATACTCGTTTGATACAAATGGTACCACATTCACACGGGATAAAAAATCTCTTTACTAGAAGCAAAATAATCAAGCAAATATCAACTGCCTTATTTTCCTTTCCTCCCTTCCCCATCTTGGACACAATATACTTTCCTCCCCCAAGGAAAAATAGATATTTTGATTAGAATTGTGTTTCAGCCAGAACCGATCATTTCAGGCTTAGAGTGGAAACCTGTTACTGCTTTGCTTTCAGGTTCGTAGTAGTGAGAGGACAAAAACACAAACACTCAGTGGCTGGGCACAATTGACCCTTATTATGATGTCTTGGTACATAAATATACAAAGGCGCTAGAAGGTGAGCTTATTGTGTCCACACTGTGAATGTCTTCTCTGCTGTGTAGGGGAAACGGCTACGTGGAGTGACGGCATCTACAGAGCTCTCAACGGCCGCATCTTTTCCTTCAAGTCTTCCTGTACCTACACCTTCTGTCGTGATTATGCTGAATCTGGAGGAGACTTCCATATTGAGATCAGAAGGAGCAAGAATGGTGATATTGAAGAAATAAAAGCTCGGATTGATGATGTTGGTGTCTCCATTTTGCATGGTTTAGTTTTTGTCAATGAAGAAAGGTAAATGACACAATGCCCTGTCTAAGAATTACAGAATAGTTTGGACTATGAGCCAAAACCAAGCGGACCGAAAAGCCACGTAAGATGTGGATGTCTGTGGCAAGGTAGAACACAGCCAGTGGCTCTGTGGCAGTATGATTCTGTCTCTAGATGTAGTGTAAAACGTAGATTCCATGAAACAATACCAGAACATTGTAATTTTCGTTGTTGTATTGAATGCTAAAGACAGATTTGAAGCTTCACAAATTAAAAACCAAAGAGATCAAAACTCCTAGCTCATTATTTTTCAGAAATAACAACTCAGAGTTCAAAGGTTCAGACTGTTTTGATTGTTTTCTAGGATATGAAACTGAGGCGTGATTGATACTCTACTTGTAAATATTTCAAAGTTTTTTATCGTTTCTTTTTCTGACACCAAACCAACACTCTACCTGTTTGTTTTTCCAAAACACCAAGACCATGTACAGTGCTTATCTCCCCTCAGCCCTTATGACAGTAGCGTTAGTTTCATCGCTTGCAAACACTTCTTTTTTTTATACTTTTTCAGGGTTCAGATACCATACAGCAACAAGATGATTCACATTAAAAAACAAGGTTATCACAATGTTCTGAACACCCGTAGAGGGATCTTGTCTTTAAGATGGAGCACGAAAGCCCTCTCAGTAAGTCGCCCAGGGATTTTCTTTGAACGTTTCGGGATTTGGTCTTTGGGTTGTCATCGTAAGAATAAACACATAAGGAAAGGATAAAGTAGGATTTGTAGAGAAATCTTTACATGCACACTGTGCTGAGCATTATCTCTCTGAGAGCCCAAGTACTACAATATGCAGCCCTCTTAGCAGGCCCATGATGGGGCAGAAGAATATGCAGGCAAAGAAAAGCAAAGGTGTTTTATGGGATTCCTGAGTGTACAAACCAGTGGGGTTCTGCATCTATGCCCGTTTCTTGTGCCTCTTCTTAGACCCTTTTTGTTTTTATTTGTTTGTTTTGTCTTATTGCAATGTGTTAGTTTTTGTTTCAACATTATACTATATTATACTCTACTATCCTAACCTGTACTATACTATAATATATTTTACTATACTATTTCCTTAGAAGTCTGTTTGTTTGCTAATGAGAGAGAGAAAGAGTGTGAATCCAGGTGGGAAGGGAGGTGGGGAGGAAACGGGAGGAATAGAGGGAGAGAAAATGGTAATCAGAATATATTATGTGAAAAAAAAAATACTTCCAATAAAAGAGAAAAGAATGTGCTTGAGGACACAATAAGCAGTAAAGTCAGACTTGCCCCAAGTTTCGAGCCACAGTTTGTTTAAGAAAGGCACCCTTCCTCCAACTGATCAGTGCACACAGGATTGCCCAGGGGGAGACCCAGCCCTTGAGTTCAGTTGAAAATTGTTCTGAGATATTTTCAGTATCTTACGAAAATACCAATGTTATTTGTTTTTAAAGCTCATCCTTCATAACCAATATACAACCTGTGGTCTTTGTGGCAACTTCAACAGCACACCAGGTGAGACTGGACAGACTGTTCCCAAGAAAATTACTTTCTGAATGAACATTTTAGAATCTCACATTTAGGTAAATTTACTAACAATTTGCATCTGGTTAAAAATTGAGAAACTGTTAGAATAAAAAAAAAATATATATATATATATATATATGATATAGCTTACGAATATTTTGAAATAATGCTTTGGTTTTTCAGGTGAAGATATTAATAAACACATTGCCAATAGCAAAATTTCCAATGACTGTCCCACGGCTCTGAGTGAGGACAATGAAGTTTGCGAGGATGGAGTCCAGGTAGGAAATCAGGTTTCACTTTGTTTGGTAGCCATCCAGTGGCTTTACTTTTTACTTAACTAGTGATTAATGATATTGCATACTTTCTCTCACTCACATTAGCACTCTTGTTTCTTTTTTCCAGAAATGTCTATTCATGGTCTAATTGGGTTGTTTTTGCATTATTGGGTTATACGAGCTCTTAATAAACTTTGTAATCAGTCCTTTATCAGATCATGACTTGCAAAGATTTTCCTGATCTCTGTTCCCATTTAAAATTTTGTTTTAAAATATGCATTTTTTTTCTGTGCATAAAGATGCATGTGACAAATTTACTAGTTTTTGCCTTAGTGGCCTGAGCTTTTAGTCTGGTATCTAAGTGGTCACTCTAAGCCAATGGTTAGGAGTGTTTTCTTCCCTTGATCTTAGAGTTTTATATTTTCAGATTTTACGCTTATGTTTTTCACCCAATTTGACTTGATTTCCATTTCTGGTGTGAGATCAGGACTCAGTTTCTTCGTTGTGTGTGTGGCAATCCTGTTTTCCAAGCACCCTTTGTTCAGTTTTCTACTCTCCCACAATGTTGTTTTGGCCCTTAGTCAGAAATCAGTTGGGCATATGAGTTAGATTTAACCCTGAGACTTTCTTTTTTTATTTTTACTTTTTTTCACAATTTATTTATTATATATCTGGATTGAAGCCCTCTCCCTCAACTACTCTGAGCCCCACCCTCCCTCCCCTTTCCCCCCATCCCTTTCTCCTAGTCTACTGAAAGGGGAAGTTCTCGTCCCCTGCCATCAGCCCATTGCTTGTTAAATCTCCTCAGGACTGCCTGGATCCTCATCCTTTGTGGCCTGGCAAGACTACATTGCCAGGCGCAAGTGATCAAAGAACAGATGACCAAGTTCATGTCAGAAACAGCCCCTGCTCCCCTTACCTGGGAACCCACAAAATGTCTAAATTTCAATGTATTCCAACTACCACATGGTGTTTTCTGTGATAAAAAATATGTTTTTACAGAAATGAAAAAAATCTTCTGTTTCATAGCTGTGTAGTTTATGCTAATCTCAGCCAGGAAAAGTGGTAACATCCCCCCAAAAAGGTAAAAATAAGAAAATGAGATTTTTTTTTTCCATAAATTGCCCTCTGTGGATTTTCTCCTATTTCTCAATGGTTATTTTTAAGAACATAGACAGGATTGTTATTCTGTATAACTTTTGAAAAATAAAGGTCAGGGACATTTCCAACAGCATGTTCTGGTAAGGAGATAGTGAGCCACTCAGGCTGCAAATGCTCTGGAAATTTAAACATTTTCGTGGCACAACAACATATTTTGTGTTTTAACGAAACGTGCTTTGTTTCGGCAGTATTGTGACAAAATTATTGGAACTTACTTTGAAAACTGTGAGAAGGTTTCCCCGTTATCCAGCGAGTACAAAAAGGTGTGCGTTGACGAATACTGTCGAACTGGAGGCGGCAAGAACAGGACATGCGACACTTACTCGGAACTGGCCCGCCTCTGTGCCTATGATGGTCCCGGTGTCTTTGAACGCTGGCGAGAGGATTCTGGTGTGGTTTGTGGTAGGTGATTTTTTTTTCTTTTTCTTAACAGCTGTAGGTTTTGAACAAATGCCTTCTTAAGGAACTCTCTAAGTTAAGGTATATCAATCTTCTTGAATGATTCTAAGGCCCGGAAAAGGAGTCGCCAATAAGAAAGTCTTATCTCTAGTATGTGTTCATGAGGAGCTTGAGGCTCATTTTGTGATGCAAGATGCCTTGTTCCAGAATTTTGTGTTAAGGTCTTAAATTAGTATAGTCATCAGCAAAATGTAAGGGGAGGGCGGGGAATGTAAATCTTACAAAAGTAACTGGGCATTTTTAATAGTCTACTCTTAAAGCACTATTTTATCTTAAAAGATTAGTAAAATGTAAATACGAGCATCACACAAAAATCAGTACAACTTACACTTTGAAGCTTGGGTTAATCTTTATGGAGCCAAACACCAAATTCAATATGGGATGAGATTAAATGATGGCACTTATCTTCCCTCTACATTAAAAGCTACTTAGTGAAATAATGCTGGAGAAATTGGCATCCTTTAGTTCTGTGGAGGGTTCAGAAAGATTGATTTGGATCTTGAAAAGCAGAATCAATGAATCCCATTTGAAAGGATTATTAGAGAACTGTATATTTGCTCTGTTCATTTCCCTCTAATTTACAAGTATACATATTTCTGTATACCTCCAGCAAAACAACAATGCCCAGGGAAGCAAATCTACAAAGAATGTGGGCCTTCGAATCCTCCAACCTGCTCAAATGTGGCTCCCTTCCAAGACAGTGAATGCGTGAGCGGCTGCACCTGCCCAGAAGGTAATATTCACACCGGTGCAACAAATCTGGACAAAGCATGGCAAGCTGTGGCTCCAAAAGGCTAATGGGGGAATGTCAGACGCTTTTAAAGCTAAAGTATGTTTTTATTTCTGAGTATTGAGCATTCCCATTCTCCACAGACTACATGGAGCTGGGTGGGTCCTGTCTCTAAGGGGCAGTAACTCTGGCTCACAAGATTTTTATCTACATTCTCGCCAGCCAAAATGAAAAGTAATCATTTACCCAAGAAGTTACCATTTCAGGGCACTCTAACACTTGCTTTAGAACTAATTGAGGAGTGGCTACAGTTGGGAAAGAATTCACAGATGGTCATATAATTTCGAAACTGCATCTATATGTGTATTCTAGGTTACCTGTTGGACGATATTAGAGACAAAGAAAAGTGTGTGTTAAAGGAAAAATGTCCCTGTGAATCTAACGGAAAAGTGTATGAGCCAGGAGAAGTCCGGGAAGGCCCCTGTGGCTCTGAATGGTATGTGTGTGCTTTTCAACTACATTTTATGGACGTTAAGATAATAGCAAAGTTTTCATTCGTGTGTTAAATTATTTAAATTTTATTCAGCAGAAATGATGCCTTTTAGGATATAACAGAGCTTGGTGTGTGTGTGTGGTGGTGGTGAGGGTGAGACTAGCAAGCAAGTGAGCAAACAAACAAACAAATCAGTTTGTCCATATTTTTAAATTCCTGGCTCATTACTCTTACAGATTCAGGGCAATAAATCTGTTTCTCAGGAATTCTCAGAAATTAAAAATAAATAATAAATTCTCATCAAATTTAAAATTATGATGGTTTTGAACATACATCTACTAATCTTCACACTCTAGTATTTAGATAAGTAAACTTGTGTTTAAAGCATAAATACACTAAGCAGCGCATTGCTCACGAAGAACTGCAAGAGTATTCAAACATTTAGAAACGTATTTTTAAGCTAATGTCTCCCGGAAGGGAAGAGCCCCTCAAGGAATGGCGTGGACTTCTCCTTGAAGGATGGCTTTGCACTGGGAACCTGTCGGATCTTGAGAAACCATGCAGGGGCTCACGCAAAGCGCGAGCTTTATATATAAACTCGTTAGCAAGCACTTTGTTGTCTCTCCTGTCTTCTCCATCACATTATGCTTTAACCACGTTGCGTTTGTTTACAGCCATGTAGGTATCCACCGTCCACCGTAGGTAGCCTGACATCTTAACCTGAGTGTGGACGTGTGGGGATTTTTATTTCTTTCTGACATTTGGTAACCTTACCTCACTTCATATTATTATAGATTCTAAGGCCCTCCATTTTCTTGCAAATTTGGTGGGTATGTCTCTCTTCAGAGATGAACCGTATTCCATATATGGGCCAGATTGTTATTATCTATTGATCTGCTGATGGGCAACTAGGTTGGTTCTACTCTCATGCTATGCTGACTAGAACAGCAAGGAACATGGGAAGCCAGCATGCATATCGCAGGGAGCGGCGTTCCCCAGATCTGTGTCCAGGAGTGCGATAGCTGTGTTGTAGGGTAGTTCTGGTTTTGATGTTTTGAGGAGTAGCATCTTCTTAAGCCTCACCATCTCTGTGCCTCTGTAGGACATGGCACAGTGCAAGTTCACAGCGTAGTTTGTAACCAGTTGCCTTCATGCTGACAAAGCAGCACATAAACAAAACTTTACAAGCTTTTATGTATGTTTGATTCATCAAGTTGTTATATTTAGTAAAACAAAAAAAAAAAAACACAAACCTGAAGTAGTATAAAATATAATGATCTCAACACCTATGAGACATTTCATCAGGGCTGGTTGTTTCTGGGTGGGAGATGATCTCCCATGGGAGTGTTTGCTCCCATGTTGGCTTTGAATGTGACGTTCTAATGTTGAAGTGTTTGTTCGGCGTACAGAGGGTTCACCTTTGACTCGCCTTTGCATTCAACAGCACATGCCAAGAAGCTAAGTGGTCTTGTACTGAAGCACTGTGCCCTGGCAGATGTAAAGTGGAAGGGAGCTTATTCACCACTTTCGATGACAATAAATTTAGCCACCCTGGAGACTGTCACTTCTTGGCTGTCCATGTAAGTACTTATGTAAGACAGCTGTGAAAACTGAGCACATTTTCAACTAACTTAAAGCACAATTCGTATTGTGTTATTTACTTTTGGTAATTTTATGCATGTATACAATGTATTTAGAGAATATTTATTTCTCTCCCCCCCCCGATCACCAACCCCTAAATCAGCTTCATTTGCTCCTTCCCCTCTTTCTCCTTCTCCTCTTCTTTTTTAATAGCCAACTGAGTCCAACTACTGCTGCCATTATGCACATGGATATTGAGTAATCCACTGGCGCATGAGCAGTTTAGTGGGGACTGTGCCCATAACGAAAACTGGCTCCTTCTCTCTCAGCATCTACCAGCTTCCAATAACTCCCTAACTGAGAGCAGGACCCCATGTCTATAGTGGAATGGTGACAGCTTGATATTGCCTGGGTCTTGTACACACAGCCATGGTTGCTTTGTGTAGGTCAGTGAAATGATTCTGACACACCCAGAAGACATTAGTTTGTACCAGACCTTCACAACGTCTGTATTTTATAATTTTTACTGTTTTTCTTCCCACTCCTCTGTGATGTTCCTTGAGCCTTCTTGTGGGAGAGTTGTGATATGAATGTTTCATTGAGAGATAATAATTAAGTAGTCGCCTTTTGTTCTTTTACCAGTTTGGATCTCTGTGTTGACTACTGCACAAACAGACTTCTTCATGGAGAGGTGAAAGCTGGGTGTAAAGATAGACACTTGGAAAAATGTTTGATTCTGCTCTTAATTACAATAGTAGCCAGTTCTCCCCAGGGTGTATAATCTTCCCAGCCCAGGTTCTTGGTGAGGGTTAGAGTAGCCGGCATGAGTTAACCTCCTGTGGAGCAACCCTTAAATCCAGTGAGGAACATGTAAGTTGCCCCCATAACATTCATGCACCAACAGACATTCCTTGCCTGGCTGATGGCAACTCACAACTGTGTAAGACTGTGGCTGATTTCGCTCTTTAAACAGTTTGCATACTTTCTTCTGACACTAGGAAAGCTAGATGGCAGTGAGGGAGTAGCTTTTATATTGAGTTACTCTGCAAAGAAATAAGCAAACAGCCTTTACATCATTAACTATACATTTTAGTGTCTTTTTCTGTCATAAATTGACATCGGTATTAACATCTATTAATATACCTATATCTATTACACCATGTACACTGTGGAAATTTCTAGCTGAAATAAAATTCAACAAGTATCTTAATTTACTAACAACCCGCCTAAGTACACAGGAGAGTCACTGTGCTTGTCCATGCATGTTCCACAGTGCTTCACATAATCTGGTCCTTCATGTGCTAGAAGCATCTTCTTCTTTCTTTACTCTTCCCTGAAATTTATTCTCAGTCTTTATTATACAGTGCATCTCTACTGTATGATTGCTGCTGCTGACTCTTCTTAATACTAAGTAATATGAATTCTAAAAGGGCAGCTCCATTTCATAGCTCCTGCCTTCAGCGGACATGAGAAAATTGAACTTGTGAGTGGCAAAGAGAGAGGCAGATTAATATTGGGCAGTTCCCAAAGTGTAATTTCTACTACTGAAGATCTGTGTTCCAAAAACAAACAAACAAACAAACAAACAAACAAACAAACAAACAAAGTCTCTTTTCTTTCTTTTTATATTCCTTTCCTTTACTCTGTGATGACTTGGGATGGGGGAAGAGAAAAAGAAACCCACTGAAGCATATGGAATGTGTGCTGATTGGAATCAGAGACTCAGAGACCTTCATGTCAAAGCTAGAAGTCTCATGATGCTTCACATCAACATTTATAGCTTTCCAACTTAAAAACCTCTTGCATTGTGTCTATGCAGAATCTACAGACTACTCAGGGATTCAAAAGCCATTTGAAGTATAATATTCCCAACAAAGCACCACAATTATGTTGTATGCAAGAGTGAAAACAAAAGAAAAAATATTGCAATAAAATGTCAATCAGTTACTGTATAGAGCATAAATTCCACATAATATCCAGAGCATTTCTAAAGTGTTTATCTGCTCCTGTGTGTTTACTAAGGGGTGAGGAGAGAAAGGGGACTGAGGGGGGGCATTGATGGGGTTTCTAGATTCTGAGCAGATTGAATGGAGAAACTGCTGATTTAAGGGCATTGTTAAGAAATAACATAGCCATAATATATGAGAAAACTCTTGAACAAAAACCAATTGTTTTACAGAATGAAGATATCTCTATTAGTGTTGAGCTTCATGAGTGTGGAGATGGTCAAACAGGTTCATGCTTAAAGAGTGTTATGTTTCTCCTTAATTCTGTAAGTATTGACCTTCCTAAGATTTAGACAGTAAAATCAGATCAATGATTTCACAAACTAAAATCTGGAGAGGGCTGAGGAGTTGATTTGCTGAATAGAAGAGCTTGATACAAATGCTGTGAATCTGAAGTCCAATGTCAAGGACGTTGGAATAGCTGGGCATCATTACATATGGACATAAGCTCAGGCCTCTGGGTCAGAGGAAGAAGGATCATGGGGCTTGCTGACCGTCTGGCTTTGCCAAAACAGTGAGATCCAGGTTCAGCAAGAGACCCTGTCTCATTGAGATAAGTCAGGGAGTGAGAAAGCAAGATGTCCCATGCCCTGCTCTGGCTTCTTCAGAAAAGTGCACAGGCCCATTCACTGGCCCCTCACCATAGACACACACATGAACATTTAAAAAAAATGTTTAAAGAAGAAATCATAGTTTGGGAACTGGAAAAATGACTCAGCTGATAGGTGTTCTGGACTTTATTCCTACTTTTCATGTGAGGAAAAAAGAAGGTTCAGCCTGGTTGCAAAACAGGGGAGGGAAAGATAGAGTAGAGCCTGGGGGCTTGCTGATCAGCCAATCTTGACAAATTGGCAAGCTCCAGATGCAATGAAAGACTGTGTCTCAAGAAAACAAGGTATGTAGAAATTTAGGAAGACACCTGGTACAAGTCTGTAACCTCCACAGAGACAGACAGACAGACACACACACACACACACACACACACGCACGCACGCACGCACGCACAAAAAGAGTCTAAATTTATAAAAATTATGAGTTTTCCATGTAAGTTAAATGTATGGATAAGATTCCAGGAAAACAATTGTATTTCATAAGAGTTGGATAGAGCCAAGATTCTGAAATCTATCCATGATGAGCATAAATACACAAATGTGTGGGAATGGCAGGTCAACCATGGGTGTTCATTACATATTTGCTCGCTTTTAAAGGATGTGCTCCAGCCAGGATGCTGGTACTTACAAATGGTTACCATTTTGGTTTCCTCTTCCTTGTCTGTAAATTGGAGATGAGGGTTCTTTTCCAGGGTTGATATGAGAAGCATGAAGCATGGTGGAAGAAAGACTTTATCAATATTCATAAATAAATCTTACAGAATTCAATATGTTTTAGTGGCATAATAATTCATTTTCATGTAGCATATTAAAGCAATTCTGGGCTAACAGAGTGTTTTATATATTAGTCTACTTCAGGTAACAGATTTGTGTTCAATAGTGACGGGACAGTCACGAAGGATGGAGTTACAATTAAAGGTTATTACTATTCAGGTATGGTTAACAACAGCATTTAAAATCTCATATAAGGCGCATTTATTTACTCGGTTTCTAAAGCTGGCATGCTAATTTTACGGTATTAATTATTCAATAGATGATGTGCAGATCTTCAATGCATCTTCTTTATATATACAAGCTGAAATATTATCTCATCTTAAGATGCAAATTCAAATTGCTCCTGTGATGCAGCTGTATGTGTCCATTGCTCCCGACACGTTCACAGACACTGTAGGTAAGTCCTCCAAATACGTCTATCTCCAAGGATCAACAGGATTCAGTTAATATAGCAATGTAACATCAGAAAAATATCTCCTACATCCTAAGACACTGGACTTCTGCTGAACCTCTCAGCCAAAGGAAATATTTGGCCTTGAGATCACTTACGACGTGAGTCTGCTATCCTGCTGTGGCCCCAGCCCGTTTATTTCTCTCGGGTTTAAGAGAACAATGCAAAACTCAACCTCTGTTCATCACAGAATCAGTGCCAAAGGGATGTTCAAAGCTCATGCCTTTAGATTTTTTGAATTAAGACTTTTATTTGGGGGCTAGGGAAATGTCCTGGTGGTTTAGGACACTTGTTGCTCTTGCAGAGGACCCAGGTTCAATTCCCAGCACCCATATGATACCTCACAACTGTCAACTCCACTTCCAGAGGATTTGCTGCTCTCTCTTCGACTTCCACTGCTACCAGGCATTCCTGTGGTGCATTTACATGCATGCAGGCAATCCGCTCGTGCATATAAAACAAACAAACAATTTTTTGTAAATGAACATATGCTTTCATCATAAAAGTGAGCTCCTCTATACAGTTGTAGAGGTTGAACAAATAAATTGCAAGTCCCACAAACGGATGAATGCATACATAGTACAAGCTTTATGATACACCTTTACTTTGAAAGGTAATGTGTTTACATGTAGACAAAAAAAACCCACAACTTAAGGATTGGACAGCTCCTACACATAGTCTTATGGGGATCCATCTCTCTAAAGTCTCCATGGAAAACAACAAAAATATCACTTATGGTACATGGGTTTCTGTGTTCTGGAATTTCTGTGAAAGACCAATGAATGAAGACTGAAGCATTATAAGATTTTACTTAACGTGTGCCAATATTAACCAAACACATTTCAAGTATTTTTTTTTTACAGCATTTTCAATAGAGCAGCCAACAGGATGAGTCGGTGAAAACACTAACCTTTGCTCTGTGCCACTAACATCATGTAGGTCTTTGTGGTTCCTACAACAATAAGGCAGAAGATGATTTCATGTCAAGTCAGAAGATTCTGGAGAGGACAGCTCAGGCATTTGCTAACTCCTGGGAGATGATGCCTTGCCCCAAGGGAAGCCCATCTTCCTGTGTCAGCATCGAAACAGGTGATAGCAATGGAGAGTGATACTGTGTTGTTAATATGTGTTGCTGATGTTGACCCTTGCAGACATGCTGATAGTCATATGAACACAATTGACCCATTTGCCTCTACCTAGTCTTCTGGTTTGAGTGTGTGTCTAGAAAACCCATTTTTTCCACTGGTAACTCCTCTCTGTTTTATTTTTGTATACCCACCCTTTCTTACATAATTACAGAGTAATAGGGTTAGGGGGGTTAGAAATTATTCACTCTATTCATTTTCCTTCCTTTATTTTAATGGTGAAAGTTATCATTGGTTTTCATTGATGCATATTGAAACTGCTTGGACCCTTGGTGGGTTCCACCAGTCCCAACACAGTTCTTACTTCAACCTGGCAAACGCATGACTCCTGTTTTAGCCTATGAAAGGCTTTCGTTAATACCAGTTCTGTTAATTCCTACATAAACTCACAGAGGACATGATGAGGTCATCATCTACATTGATATGGATGTAGATGACAGAGGGCACAGGCTGTGAACTTCCTTGGGGTCACAGATGATGCTACAAACCAAGCACTTGAAAACCAGGCACTCTGAGGGTCGTCCCATGGTTGTGGCAGTTTTCATGACTGCTCCATGTCAGTATTTGTGAAAATGAGAAGTACAATGAAAGCAAGCTTACAATTTGTTAGTGTGTTAACCAGTTGTATCCAAATGATTTTATATAGTTATATATAATTGTATATACAGATATAACTATGCATAATAATATGTGTGTATATGTATTTGAAACAAAGTCTGATCCTTTTATAATATTATTTTAAATTACTAAAGCTGTCCCAAATAAAAATATCATCTACTAATTTTGAATTGAGAATTAGTTACAGGAAGTAGTGTTGTAATTTCTATTTTTCAAGCTATTTAGTTTGAGATTATTGCAGTGAAAGGGTTGTGACATTACACAAAAAGTGTGCATTTCTTATAAGGGATAGAGTTAATTTATGTTCAGCAGAAAAGAGGCCAGTACTTTGTAGTAGTATGTAAAATAGATCTGATTTCGGTATATTGTATTTGAATTAACAACAACAGAATTTCAAATGAACTTTGAGAAGATATTTTTATTTTTTTATTACAATTTATTTACTTTGTATGCAGGCATAGCCCCCTCCCTCATCTGCTCCTGGTCCCACCTTCCCTGCCTCTGCCTTCCCATTCCCCTCCCCTTCTCCACTGATAGGGGAGGTCCTCCTCCCTTGCTATCTGTCCTTAGCTTATCAGATCTCATCAGGACTGCTTGGATCCTCTTTTTCTATAGCCTAGTAAGGTCATCCCACTAGGGGGAGTTGATCAAAGAGCAGGCAACTGAGTTCATTCCAGAGACTGCCCCTGCTCTCCTTACTAGAGGACCCCCATGGAGACTGAGCTGCCCATGGGCTACATCTGAGCCCTGAGTTTAGGCCCTCTCCATGCATGGTCCTTGGTTGATTCATCAGTCTCTGCAGGTCCCCCTGGGCCAAGATATTTTGGCTCTGTTGGTCTCCTTGTGGAGTTCCTGCCTCCTCCAGGTCTTTCATGGATATTAGCCATATAATATAGGATAAACATTCTAAAACCTATATCCTAAAAAAGCTAAACAACAAGGAGGACCCTAGGGAAGGTGCTTAATCCTCATTCAGAAGGGCAAACAGGATAGACATCAGAAGTGGGAGAAGACAGGGAATAGGATAGCAGTCTACCACAGAAGGCCTCTGAAAGACTCTACCCAGCAGGGTATCGAAGCAGATACTGAGACTCACAACCAAACTTTGGGCAGAGTGCAGGGACTCTTATGGAAAAAGGGGAAGATAGAAAGACCTGGAGGGGACAGAAGCTCCACAAGGAGACCAACAGAGCCAAAAAAATCTGGGCTCATGGGGGCCTGCAGAGACTATGAATCAACCAAGGGCCATGCCTGGAGCGGACCTAGAGAAGATATTATTAGTAGTAATTTTTTCAGAAGAAGTGTAGTGACAGTTTGTTGATGATTTGCCAGAATATTAGTCATAGTTGTTTTCCCTGTCTCTTTCATGAGATCAGACTCCTTTGTACTTAAAATCATTATTGAAGGCATTTCCTGCAACCTGCCTTTTTATGGATTTTATTTTCTGAACGCAGTATGGGGGTAGATATTTATAAATAAACGAATATCGGTTAGAACCTTTTCAAAAAATGAAATAAGTGCATTCGGTTTGTTGGGCCTACATCGATGTGGCGTGGGCGTGGCGCAGAAGCTGTGGCAGGTGAGCCATTGAGACGTAGTGTGCCACATTCAGTTTTCATGCTCTCCGCAGCAGCTGCATTTCAGAGGCGTGTTAGCTAGATTAACAGAAAGTGCCAGTAGTAACGAGGATTCTACTTTTGAGTGTGCCGTGTTTGCACTGTCATTTTAAACATAGTGACATCAAATTTGATCCTTCTCAGCAATCTGCTTTTGTAAGCAAAATTCTGCCTGAAGGCGGACTTTTATGAAATATACAGCTTTGCTTTAAATTAAAGAAACCTTGATGTTGCTGAGTCTAACTCTGGATGCTTTCACTTCCTTGCAGAGAAGTTCGCGGAGAACAACTGTGGGATTCTTCTCAGCTCAAGTGGGCCTTTTGCTGCTTGTCATCAAACTGTCAACCCCAAGTTCTATTATGAGGTATGTGATTTTTTTTCCAGCACTAACAGTCTTTATTAGAAACATTTTGGGGATTTTTGACAAAGGCATGCACATTCTAACCACTTTCAAATTACTACTATTGTCAATAGTTTAATGTGTATGCTTAAAATTAGCATCGGAGTCTAATAATTTACTTAAGCATTAGTTAAACTAACTTTGTAAATATAACATTGGAAAACAACCCCAAATGATAAAGGGCTTGAATAAGTTTTCCTTTATATTTTTCCTAAGTGGATGAATACTTAATTAGCTATTTGGAATATTTTAAAACATTTCTAAATGTCACCAAGTACAATTTGATTCTGGGGTCAGGAATGCCTGGGTACATATTCAACTCAGGCTGCCTGCTCTTCTGAATAACTCTAGAATGTTATATATATATAACATTCTAATATATATAATATATATTATATATTATATATTAATATGTATAATATATTATATATATAATATGCTTGTTTCTCTTTTGAAAGGAATGCAAAAAGTACACGTGCTCTTGTGAGAACAGCAAAGACTGCCTATGTACAATTTTAGGGAACTACGTGAAAGCGTGTGCTGAGAAGGAAACATACCTCATGGGCTGGAGAGATGGACTGTGCGGTGAGTATGAGGTCACTGCTGCAGGCCCCTCTGCTTCCTTCTCAGTTTCCTGCAGGCACCTGTGCTGGGCTGGGGAGACACATGTGTTTACAAACTTGTACCTGATTCTTTCAGAGGTTATTATTTTCCTTTTTTTTTTTTGAAGATCATTGGCAAATCTTGAATTCCAACGTTTTGGTTCATTCCTTTAACATGTTTATATTTTTAAGATGAAAGGTGTTTACAGGAATATGCTCAATTACTATATTCTGAAATTTACGTAATTTTTTATTTGTAAATTAAGAGCTCGAAGAATATACTAAGATATCGTATTCTCTGAATATGACTTTATAAAGATTTACCTTGAGAAAAGAGTATTAAAATCTCCAAACAAAACAAAACAAAACCCTCCAACAGGTCAGGTCAGGTGTGGAGGCTGGTGTCCATTTCCCAGCACTTGGAAAGGCTGAGGCAGGAGGGTTGCCGTGACTTTAAGGACAGCCTGGGCTTCATAGTGTGTTGCAGGTCAACCTGGGCTACATAGCAAAATCCTGCCTCACAAAACTGGAAAACAACAAAGCCTACGGATTTTAGAAGCCTTTACCCTTTAGACATACTCAGCATTTCACAGCCCACGTCTAACAAGCAATAGGGCCTGTTACATCCTCCCTGGGGCCTCCTCGAGCACAAAACTCCTCTGCCATCAGTTTAGCAAAGGGGAACATGCTTTCTTCACGTCTTGTTGAATGGTAGTGGCCTTCTTTGGTATTTCCCCTCTACTCTTTTTAATCTATATTCTATGGGGAAAAAAAAATCAGATCCTCTTTAGAGTAAAATCACATAAAACTGGATTGCCTAAAACACGTCAGTTGTTTCTCCTAGTTTAAAGGGTCCCATAACCACAGGTAATGTCCCTGGACCTGGAGCTTCCACAGCTTAGTGTACAGTTTGGGAGAAAGATGCTGTCTTTAGGGCTGGGCTCTTGTCCTGGTGTAGAATTACCCTTCTCTGTCTGGGCTTCAGTCTCCCTCTTTTTTTTTTTAATTTTTTATTAATTACACTTTATTCATTTTGTATCCCCCCATAAGCTCCTCCCTCCTCCCCTCCCGATCCCACCCTCCCGCCCCTTTCTGTATGCATGCCACTCCCCAAGTCCACTGATAGGGGAGGTTCTCCTCTCCTTTCTGATCTTAGTCTATCAGTTCTCATCAAAATTGGCTGCATTGTCCTCTACCGTGGCCTGGTAAGGCTGCTCCCCCCTCAGGGGGAGGTGATCAATGAGCAGGCCAATCAGATTATGTCAGAGGCAGTCCCTCTTCCCATTACTATGTAACCCACTTGGACACTGAACTGCCATGGGCTACATCTGTGCAGGAGTTCTAGGTTATCTCCACGAATAGTCCTTGGTTGGAGTATGAGTCTCTGGGAAGTTCCCTGTGTTCAAATTATCTTGTTCTGTTGCTCTGCTTGTGGAGTTCCCATCCCCTCCAGCTCTTACTATTTCCCACTTCTTACATAAAATTCCATTCACTCTGCCCATCAGTTGGCCATCAGGCTCGGCATCTGCTTTGACAGTCTCCCTCTTAATTGACCCTTTCATTCTCTCCCCACAGTACAGATCCTAGCTGTGCACGGAGACCGTGTGCATCTTGCCTTTTCATGGCACATGCCTCCGTTGTCTTTAAACAAGAACATACATCACATGGGGGCCGTGTGTATTGCCTCTCCTGCCAGTGGGCGTTGTCTGAAACACTGACTGAAAAGAAAAACTAAAAAATAAATCAATGAGTAAAGAGTTTTTTTCCACCTTCTTTAATTGTGAATAATCCACCATGTTCTGTATAAACGCCAGTGAAAAGGGAGTTCTCTTCCCTAAGGGACACACAGTAACTGCTGATCTTGTCTCTTCCCCACAGAGGTGTCTTGCCCAAGTGGCCTTGTTTTCGACTACAAAGTGAAAACCTGCAACAGATCCTGTCGCTCTCTGTCAGAACGAGACAGGAGCTGTGATGTGGAAGACATTCCAGTTGATGGGTGCACTTGCCCTGATGGAATGTACCAGAATAGTGAAGGAAACTGTGTTCAGAAATCTGAGTGTGACTGCGCTGTTAATGATGACATTGTGCAAGCCGGAAAATCTATCCTTATTGATGACAATAAATGGTATGTAAGAGATTATCTAGATGCTCTTTATGACGCCCACAGGAGATTACACACATGACTGTTGGGATGTTGAGAAGGAAATGTGCTCTCTTCAGAGAAATATTAACCTGCCAGCATGAATCTCCATGCTGGCAGATCTACTGTATTTTTTCACTTTTCATTTTCATGGTTGGCCCTTTTTTATTCTGGCGGATCCACTGTACTATAGAGACCATACACGGTTTGCCCTACTCTGGTTTAAATATCAGGACAAATGTATTCTGGCAGCTTTTATAAACAGGCAATGCAAAATGATTTTACACAGATAATAAACTACTGTCTTAGGATGTAGCATTCTGTGAATACTTGTTACATGTCTAGGGCTTGTACTGATTGCTAGAATTACAAAACAAAGCAGCCGTTGGCCATGAAATAGCAGCTGCAGTCTGAGGAGCTGGGGGAAGCTTCCCAGAGGAGGCTGGAATTTTGATTCTCTTAAGAACTGGTTACTTTTTCCAGACAAAACTGTCAGAATGTTATAGCTAATGCTTAAAAAATATTGGGCACAGTGGCTATTGTATGTAAGATTATGCTGGAAACAGAGACAGATATGGTTTAGATTCCAAGTTCATGGACATGTGGGTGGGGTGTGATGATAAACATTCTTTCCCTCTGCAGCTGTTGCAGAATAAAGTAACCATAGGCTAGCTCTCCACACTTATGGCATCTCCAGCAGGAGTGATCCAGACAATTATCAACACTACTGAGCTCGTTAACACTTCTTTCCTTGACTTTGGCTCCCTCTACACCTGTATCACGTTCCCACCTCTGTGGCCAGAAAGTCTAAAGTAAAGCACAATTTTGGTTGGGCCACTAGCCTTCTAGGAGAAATGACTGACAGTTGCTGAAAGAACAGAAAGACACTTGCAAGTCATTCAAAGCCAGGCAAGATCTGGCTCCAACTTATTTCTATTACTTTTCCCCACTGAGTATCATCCTTCTTCCACCAACAGAAGATTCTTGGGAGCCTTTGAAACACACCTTGTTCTTTGTGACATCAGTTTTTCATACTCTCAGCTAGATTTGAGCATGAAGTTCTCTTACATGCCGAGAACGTGCACATTCTTACAATACCTACAAGATTTTGCCTTATAATTTGGGAAATCTTATGCATGTTCTTGTAACTGAGTCACATTTGTCTAATTACCCTTAAACATTAATTTTTAAAAGCGATAAAAATGTCTGTTTTTCTTTTATTTCCAGTGTCTGTCAGGATGGTGTGCTTCTTTGCGAAACTCCCCTTGATTTAACCCTACGTAAGTCGTGTTATTGCTGTTGTTATTGTACTTGTTGTTTGATTTCTCAACCCTCCCATCATTTATTTCTGCTGTGATCCTCTTTTTCCTCACCTCTCTTCCTCTTATCTATTATCTGTCATCTATCTATCTATCTATCTATCTATCTATCTATCTGTCTGTCTGTCTGTCTGTCTATCTATCTATCTATCTATCATCTATGTATCTATTTATTTATCATCTATCTCACCATTTAGCTCTATCACTATATCTCTTCTATCTCTCTCTATCACTATCTCTTTCTTTCTATCTCGACCTAATTATTTTGATCTCTCTCATTATCTCTATTTCTACCTATCTCTGTATCTATCTCTTCCCATCTTTATCTTTATCTATCTATATCTATCTCCATTTCTCTATATATCTCACATCTCTATCTCTCTGTCTTTATATCTCTCTATATCTATCTCTACTTCTACCTGTCTTTCCAAACTCTCACCAGACACCCAAGGCTGGCCTTGACAGGACAGCAGTCCTTCTGCCTCAGCATCCCAGATGGATTTATATTTATGTGCCAGAACTCCACTTTTTACCTACGTGTTCAAAAAAATGGTCCAAAATAGACCAGGAGCTCTTGATTAACAACTCCATTTTCTATCTGGCAGAAAACTGTTCCAAAGGGGCTGAATATGTAGACTGCAAAGATCCCAAGGCACAGAGAAGGACTGAAAGGACATGTAGCACTCGGAACATACCTGATTTTGAGGTGAGTAACATGGCAACAGAGTGGAGCTTGCCTGTGTGTTTGTTTGTTTGTTTGTTTGTTTCCATTCATTCCCTTTGTATCCAAGCTGTAGCCCCCTCCCTCATCTCCTCCCAGGCCCACCCACTCTCCCTTTTCTCTCCCTATGCCCCTTCTCCTTACCTCCTTCATTCTTATCTAACACTAGCCTATCAGGCCTCATCAGGGCTGGCTGCATTGTCTTTCTCTGTGGCCTGGCAAGGCTGTACCTCCCAGGTGGAGGTGATCAAAGAGCCAGCCACTGAGTTCATGTCAGAAACAGCCCCTGTTTCCCTTACTAGGGAACCTACTTGGAAACTGAGCAGCCTACAGGCTTCCTCTGAGGAGGGAGTCTAGGTCTGGTCCATCGATGGTCCTTGGTTGATTCATCAGTCTCTGCAGGCCCCCCCCCCCCTGGGCCCAGGTTTTTATTTGTTTTCTTGTTTTTTTGTTTTTTTTGGCGCTGTTGGTCTCTTTGTGGAGGTCCTGTCTCCTCCAAGTGGAGCTTTTTAAAACTTTCCAAATGTAGGGTAGATAGACGCTATAATTTATAAGAAAGATAATTAGATCATTATTAGATGTGTGTGTATGGTATGTTCCACCTGTGAAATGTGGGTCGAAGATATACAGTGGCTGCACTGATGATTTTAACTTGATGCTGATGATGGGACACAACAACAGAAGGGTTGATTCTGTATGTTTCCTTATAGGGTGACTTGCCTTGCAAACGTGGGTGCTACTGTCCGGTGGGAATGGTCCGCAACTCTAAAGGGATATGTATTCCCCCTGATGACTGTCCCTGCTCTTTCGGTGACAGAGAATATGAACAAGGAAGTGTTACTTCTGTTGGCTGCAACGAGTGGTGTGTAATAAAGAATTCATAATTTATTAGTTTGGGGTATTTAGAAGTGGATAGTTTGCTGTTATTTTTCTTGGGAATGAAGAAGTCATACCCAGGGCTTTTTTGAAAGAATAATGGTCAACTTAAGTTGGCAAAAGTTATATTTATTTTTGTAAAACAAACTTTGTATAACACAACACATCGTGAACGTTAGACAATTAAATGAAGATACCTACCATATTTAAACCAAAGAAAACATTTTATGATTCTCTACAAATCAATAAAATATGTGAATCATGGCAACATAAGTACCATTCTTCCATTTTTTTTTCTTTTAGTACTTGCATAAAAGGGTCCTGGAACTGTACCCAAAATGAGTGTCAAACAACTTGTCACATCTATGGGGAAGGACATGTTAGAACCTTTGATGGAGAAAGTTACAGCTTCGATGGGCTCTGTCAGTATACATTCCTTGAGGTAATTATGTGTGTATTTTATGTTTCTCTGTTCCTCATAATTATTCTGTATGTGCTTATGAGTATAAGGGTTTATTTTCAAAGTGTGTTTTTTTATTTTTATTTTTACAGCTCTTGATATGTTTCTAGAAGGGAGAGTGTTTTCCAGTGTGAGGCTAGCTCTGCAGATCTGCTGACTGCTGGCATGGTCCCATTAGAAGTATTACTGTGGGCACGTTCCTTAAGTTCCCAGTGTCTAGGATTCTGCATCTATCACATGTACATGGAAACATCCCCTACTTGGGGCCAAATAGGAGCACACATTGTAGCCAACACTAAGCACTTAGTGGATGTTAGATCCTATTATTCAAGCCATAGCAGTAGTGATGGTGACTAGAATTTTACAAGTAATTCTTTGCCAAGCAAATGCACATAAGTTATTGTTGACAAATGGTTGCAATACCATAAAAGTATTGTTGCTGATCTAGTGCAGATGAAGACAGGGAGTCTTAAGTGGATTAAGCAGATTAAACTATTAGCTAGAGAATGTCATAGTCAAAGAATGAAATGTCAGAGTTTATGCTTTTTGGAGACAGCTTACTTCCTTGCTAAGTACCACCTAATGGAGTAAGTTTAGATTGTGTTCTTATTTGTTGACTCATTAAATTTTATATAAATATTAATAAATATTAAATTTTATATAATAAATAAATAAATAATAAATTTTATATAAATATTAAATTTTATGTTGACTATCAAATTTTATATAAATCACTGAAGAAAAAGAACCACCTGTAGTAATTTGTAGAACCCGAAAGCAAACCAATGATTCCTACATATGTTTAAATACTTGTATATCTAGACTAAAGTCTGGACATGTGTGGAAGTAATGGAATTAGGTTGAATCACCACAGGCTAGTCAGAGCAGACTCTGCAAACTACCTGGCCACACAAACAGCCAAGCTTCTGCATTTTAGGAATTCTTCGTCACGGTATATGATGTGTTGAACTGAAGGAATACTCAGTCGTAGATGTTGCAATTGAGGTCTATGTTCTTGACATTCATGAACTATTGTAATTTACTCTTTTTATTTTATTTTATTAATTACACTGTATTCACTTTGTATCCCTCCATAAGCCCCTTACTCCTTCCCTCCCGGTCCCACCCTCCCTCCCCTTTCTTCACACATGTCCCTCCCCAAGTCCACTGATAGGGGAGGTCCTCCTCTCCTTCCTTCTGATCTTAGTCTATCAGATCTCATCAGAAGTGGCTGTATTGTCATCTTCTGTGGCCTGGTAAGGCTGCTCCCCCCTCAGGGGGAGGTGATCAAAGAGCAGGCCAATCAGTTTATGTCAGAGGCAGTCCCTCTTCCCATTACTATGGAACCCTCTTGGACACTGAACTGCCATGGGCTACATCTGTGCAGGGGTTCTAGGTTATCTCCATGCCTGGTACTTGGTTGGAGTATGAGTTTCTGGGAAGACCCCTGTGTTCAAATTTTCTGCTTCTGTTGCTCTCCTTGTGGAGTTCCTGTCCTCTCCAGATCTTACTATTTCCCACTTCTTACATAAGATTCTATGCACTCTGCCCAGCAATTGGCCATAAGTCTCAGCATCTGCTTTGATAGTCTACAGGGCAGAGCCTTTCAGAGGCCCTCTGTGGCAGGTTCCTAGCTTGTTTCCTGTTTTCTTCTTCTGATGTCCATCCTCTTTGCCTTTCAGGATGGGGATTGAGCATTTTAGTCAGGGTCCTCTCCCTTGATTAGTTTCTTTAGATGTACAGATTTTAGTAGATTTATCCTATGTTATATGTCTATATGAGTGAGTATACACTGTGTGTGTCTTTCTGTTTCTGGGACAGCTCACTCAGGATGACCCTTTCCAGTTCCCACCATTTACCTGCAAATTTCCTGATTTCCTTATTTTTCATTGCTGAGTAATACTCCATTATGTAGATGTACCACAATTTCTAATTTCTGCACCCATACTTCAGTTGTATAATTTACTCTTAACAGGATTATTGTGGCCAAGAAAATGGCACCTTCCGTATTTTAACCGAGAGTGTCCCCTGCTGTGAAAACGGGCTTACCTGCTCCAGAAAAGTCATAGTGGCTTCCCAGGTATGGTATTACTCCTCTTCTCTTGGCTTTCCCCTCAGATTATGACCTTCTAACTGAAAGGGCTGTTTGTAAAATTTTCCTTTTCATATACAGGACCAGAATATCATCTTACAAGATGGTAAAGTGACAGCAGTTCAAACTGCCGACAGTACAGATTGTGAACGCAATGGAACCTCGTACTCCATCCACACTGTTGGCCTCTACCTGATTGTGAAACTTCAGAATGGAATAATTTTGATTTGGGACAAATACACAAAAGTATCTGTTATTCTGGACCCAAGCTGGCAGGTACACACATCTCCAATGAGCTGGAGAAACTGACATTTAAAGGCATGTCTTCATAGGCCAGTGGGGTGCTGATAGGGTCTCATTTACTGTGATCAACCTTCGACTTCTCTTTAGTTATTATTAAATATAATCAAATGACCAATTTGGTAAGAACATGAGTGCAGTCAATTGAGGAATTCTAGTCTAACTCTATCCACTTTCTGGAGATTATCACGTGACATAATTTTCAGGCAACTGTATGTTTTGAATGAAGTACATTTCTTCCATTAGATATTCTAAGAATGAGTATGTGCATGCATAATTACTTTAAAAATCACAAGCATAATTATTTGTCATTCTTAAAACATTTATTATACAAAGTATGATGGTACATGCCTTTAAGCCCCACACTCAAGAGGCAGAGGCAGGTGGATCTCTGTGAGTTTTGAGGCCACCCTGATCTACATAGTGCATTTCACGACAGTCAAGGCTGTTATAGAAAAATCTCACCCCCACAAAAAAACATATATTATGCATGATACTAGATGATTTTATTATATAAGCTACCTTGAATTAAATGAGAGCATTCAAGTCAAAAATTCTGATTCTTCTAAAAATTGGAATTCAATATTATATAGTACTTATAATTGTGATGTTTATCTCTATCTATCTATCTATCTATCTATCTATCTATCTATCTTCCATCTATCTATCTATGTAACATCTATCAATCATCTATTGGTACACATATATATATATTTTATATATATAGTCTATCTGTCTATCTATTATCTATATATCATCCTATCTATCTATCTATCTATCTATCTATCTATCTATCTATCTATCCTCTATCTACTACCTCTCTACTTGATATATCTACATTTTCAACTTCTTACTAGGTACAGCTGATTCTTTCACTTTTTTTCAGACAGGTTTATGTAAGGTCATTTTCATGCAAGTAGGTGATTTGTTTGAACACAGTTTCCCCTATATTCCATTTCCCCTCCTCTTCTATCCCTCCTACCTCTCTTGATTCCCAATTGTAACCCAGATAGTTTCACATGCACTATCACACATCACTAAATCTCAAAAATCAGTAAATTCATATCAATAATGTTCAGGATCTACAACTGAAGGAAAGCCTGTGGCATCTGTCTTTCTGAGACTGAGACTAACTTAGTTCTCAGTGTTGATTAATTTGTGTCAGCTTGACACAAACTAGAGTTGCCTTTGAAGAAAGAACCTCAACTGAGGAATTGTCTCCATCAGGCTGGCCTGTGGTATATCTGTGGAGCACTTTCTTAAGTGCTAACTATTAATAGGAGGGCCCGGCCTGCTGTGGGTGGTATCTTTCTTGAGTAGGTGGGCCTGGACTAAATACTCAGAACAATAATAATAATAATAAAATAAAACCAAAGCTAAGCAAGTAGTATTCCTCTGGACTTCTGCTTCAGTTTCTGCTCTAGGTTTGAGTTTCTACCTTGTTTTCCCTCAATGATGGATTGTAACCTGTATAATAAACACTTTCTGCTTCAAGTTGTTTTCAACCAGTGTTTATCACAGGATTAATCTGTAATTGTAACTCGCTCTCCAGTTGCATCCATTTTCTAGTAAAGGAAGTTACTTGTTTCTCTGCGCGATTTAACATTTTCATTGTGTATGTGAAGCACATTTTCTTTTTTTTTAATTTTATTTTTTTCTTATCAGTTACATTTTATTAACTCTGTATCCCAGCCGTATCCCGATCCCTCATTCCCTCCCAGTCCCTCCCTCCCTCCCTCATCTCCACCGTGCCCCTTGCCAAGTCCACTGATAGGGGGGACCTCCTCCCCATTCATTTTCTTTACCCGTTCATCTGTTAGAACTAACATTGACTCTATTACTTAGCCATTGTGAGTGGTATTTCAATAAACTCTGGTGTGGAAATTGAATAGCTGGGTCTGGGTTTAGTTTTTAGATATATCTCCAAGCTGATTTCCAGAGTGGCCAACATAGGTTACATTCCATCAGCAGTTTATGCTGTCCCTTTCCATCCAAGTTCTTTAGCATTTGCTGTCACTTGTCAGCTTGATGACTACTATTTTGACTGGGGTGGGATGGATCCCAGTATCATTCTGATTTGCATTTCGTTGTTGGCTAGTATATTAGTTGTTATAGGTAGCCCTTCAGTTTTGTCAGTACCATTTGTTGAAGAGGCTACTGACAATGTTAAATCAGCTGAGTAGCTTCATTTCTGAGTCCTCTCTTCTCTTCCATTGATTCACATATCTGCTCCTCTGCCAGGGCCTTATTGGTTTTATTGATATGATTCTGTCATAGAACCTGAAATCAGATATAGTGATTCCCCTTCAGCATTATGCTTTTTTTTTTTTTTTGCTCAGGATTACTTTGACAGCCCAGGGTGTCCTGTGTTGTTCGCACATGAGTATTATGATAGATTTTTCTATTTATTTTAAGAATGCTATAGAAATGCTTATTTCAATTGAACCTGCAGATTGATTTTGGTAGGATGGCCATTCTCAGGATGTAAATTCTTCCACTCCATAAGCAAGGGAAATCTTTCCATTGTTCATACTCTCTCACTTTTTTCTGTGTTTTAAAGTCTTCATTGTAGAAGAAGATCTTTTACTTTCTTCCTTAGGTTTATTGCATTTTTTTTCTTAAATTTCTTTCTCAGAATGTTTGTTAGTATGCTGGCTAGTTTTATGTCAAGTTGACACAAGCTAGGGTCACTGGAGAGGAGGGAGCCTCATTGGAGAAAACTTCCTCCATAGATCAGGCTGTGGGCAAGCCTGTGAGGCATTCACTCTCCTAAGTAGTAACTGATGGGAAAAGGCTAAGCCCATTATGGGTGAGCCATCCTTGGACTGCTTGTCCTGCATTATAAAAGGAAGCACACTGAGCAAGCCCTGAGGAGCAAGCCAGAAAGTAACACTTTTCCATGGCCTCCATATCAGCTGCCTTATCCAGGTTGCTGCTTTGTTTGAGTTCATGTCCTGACTTCCTTTGAAAATGAACAGTGGTGTGGAAGTATAAGCCTCATCACAGTGATGGTAACCTTACTAGGATAATTAATATGCAGGAAGACTTCTGATTCTTCACATTAGTTATGTATTTTGCCACACCATTAAAGATGTTTATCAGTTTTTCTGGCAGAGTCTTTATGTATAAAATCATTTCATCAGCAAATGAAAGTACTTCGACTTCTTTCTTTCCTATCTGTATCTTTTCAGTTTTCTTTTTCTCTTACTACTGTACCTGAGACTTCAAGTACTATAGTAAATAAGAATGGAGAAAGCACACACAGTTGCCTTGTTCCTGACAACAGTGAGAATACATCCATTTCCCCCCATTTATTTTGATGGTTGTGGGTTCATAATATATAGAGTTTATTGGGGGATAAATTCTTCTATTCCTAGTCTTCTCAGGGCCTCCATTATAAAAGGATGTTGGATTTTTTTCAAAGGCCATTTCTCTATAGAGATGATCATATGAATTGGCCTTGTGTCCATAATTTAATGAATTATATTTAATATATTTTATTTATATTTTAATATAATGTGTTAAATAATATATTATTTTTATTGACTTGCATATACTGCTCTATCTCTGCACCTCTGGGATGAAAGTGTCTTGATCATGTGAGTGATCTGTACTGAGATTTTTGCCCCTTTCATCAACACAGAACAAAGTGTGTGGTCTTTGTGGAAATAACAATGGTGATCTTAAGGATGACTTCACAACAAGGCACTCTTCGGTAGCTGCCGGGGCACTGGAATTTGGAAACAGTTGGAAAACAAACCAGGAATGTGTGGATACAGTGACACAAAGCTTCCCATGTGACTCGAACCCATACTGCAAAGCCTGGGCTGAGAAGAAGTGTGAGATCATCAGGGATGACACCTTCAGAGAGTGCCACAGCAAGGTAGCACCATTCTGAGTGCCACCTGCGTGCGAGGCTCTTTGCCAGGCACTCATGTGTTGTTCTCTGTCTAGGTGGATCCGACGACCTACTATGACGCATGTATTGAGGAGGCCTGTGCTTGTGACATGGAGGGGAAGTACCTCGGCTTCTGTACTGCTGTGGCAATGTACGCAGAGGCGTGCAATGCAGCGGGAGTCTGTGTCTCGTGGAGAAAGCCAAACCTTTGCCGTAAGTGAACTCTGGATGTTAGTGGTTTTCTGAAAGTTGTAGATAGACAGAGTGTGTTCGCAAATCTAGAGGATGTTGAAGACATCTTAACATATTTGTTCACGATGGTGAAAATATCTATCAGAAATAACACAAGGTATAACATTTTGTGTTAAATATTAGTTAGAAAAAAAATCCTTTTGTTGAGAGAGGAAATGAATCAAATACTGATAGGAAATGCATCTCCCTTCCACTAAATGATTGATGAGTTTTGGGTATTCATGTGTCCTGGGCATGAGCCTGATGTACTATGCTTGGTTGAAATACTCACATATATTGTTTCCTTGACACAGAACCTTACTGAAAATGAACTTGAATATGAAATCAATCTCTATACACAGAGCCACATCACCATCATAAAAATCAGTCAGCCTTTTCTCCTATAAGCAGGGCATGATGGGAGATGTTCTAAATAAGTTAGAAGCATTGGCAGATTAAACATTGCATTCCACTTACAAGGTTTAGTTCTATAGCAAGCTCTTTAATTACTTTATTTGAACATTAGTACATATCAAAAGAGCTTAACTTTCTCAGCCTCTTTGTGAGACAGTGTATTCACTGTATCCCAGGCTGCCCCAGAAATCACTATGTAGCCCAGGCTGACCTTGGTCTTGTAACAATTCTCTTGGCCAAGGTTCTTCAGCGATTGAATTGTAAGAGTGAGCCACCACCATGCCTATCAGTCACCTTAGACCACAGAAAACACAGATACTTTATTACAATTCACAACAACAGCAAAATTACAGTTACAAAGTAGCAATGAAAGTAATTTTATGGTTGGAGGTCACCGCAGCATGAGGAATTGTTTTAAAGGGTTGCAGCATTAGGAAGGCTGAGAGCCACTGGTAGAGATGATGGCTTAAAATATCTCCAAATGAGCTGTCAAAGGCAGAGAGTCAGCTAAGGCTGCAAGCTGCACCCGTTTTTGTGTGTGTGTTGCATTGGCTTATATGGTAACTTAGAAAGCCAAAGAAGCTTGGTGAGGTGAGCGACAGCTATGTAGGTCTGTCGTTGGTGTCATCTAGAAACCTGTTAAAAATTTCTTGGAACCAAAGTAACTTGCCACGATTCAATCCCAGCTGTGTACTGCGACTACTACAATGCACCTGGCGAATGCAGCTGGCACTATGAGCCCTGTGGAACAGTGACAGCCAAAACATGCAAAGATCAGGTCATTGGCAAAAAGTTCTCTTCGCTTTTAGAAGGTAAGACACATACAAAGAGTCGTGAAAACGACGCCATCTTCATAAATAAAGAGTATTAGTTCTTTTTTCAACTCAGTGTCTAATTTTTATAGTTGAATGAAGTAATTTTCCTTTCAGCAATAGTTCTATGGACTTTTACATAGACGCAGATGTCCTCTCTCGTGAGGATAGTGGCTGTGTGGTCCTGGTGTCTATCTTTATTTCCATTGTATGGCGACGTGCATGCATGAAAAAGCTCTTTCAGAGTGCGTCTTGTGAAAGGATGAGGTTTGCGGTTAGGCCGAGCATCCGTGTCCCACACTGGGGCAGCACTTTATTTGTAGCATTGAATCTCCTAGAAAGAAACACACGGCAAGAAAAGAAAAATGACACAAACTTCCTAAAGCCACCTCTGTGTCAAACCCGAGGCACTGGGATGTTTTAGCGTGACCCCTGTGTCTTCTCTCTCTTGGAAAAAAAAATGTGAAAAAGATGTTTGGAAGTGTCATCCACAGCCAAGAAAATTCCCTTACCAAAGACTGCTTTGTGTATATATGAACATCGCGAAAGTAGCAAATCATTCAGGGAAACATGAATAGACTTGAATACACTTGAAACAAGAACACACTCTATCAGATTAGCTAAATGTATAACTCAGGTTGGTGCACCTCGCTCCCATCCCCCTCACATTTCCATAGGAATGGTGCTTTGCTGCCCTCCACCTCAGCTCACAGAATTATTGTAGTGACTTCAGAAAGGTAGGACGAATTTCAGTAGATGGCGATGAACTGTCGATTATTGCTCCCTGCAGGCTGTTACGCCAAGTGCCCGGAAAACGCACCCTATCTGGATGAGAACACCATGAAATGTGTCCAGTTATCTGAGTGCAGCTGCTTCTACAACAGCGTCATCCCAGCGGGGACAGTTGTTACCGACGACTGTGGAAGAACGTGGTACGTTCTCTGCTACTTTCGAGCGAGCAGTTCGTCTTTGATCGTAGTTACCTGTGTTTTATTTTATTTTTTCCTTAAATCACAAACCATGGAATGATCTGCAAGATCTTGAAATCTTATATGAAGACAGCAGAAAAGAAGCCGTTACATAGTTTGGGGAAAGAGTGTCATTCTATAGGTGTAGGTCTTATTTGGAAGCTGTCGGACATGGAGACTTGTCGATGAGCATGGACTAGGGAGACATGCCCCTTAAGTAACAAAATTGAGGTTGACAACTTAATAACTAACTTGGGCTGCTAGACCGTCCGCCCTTCAGTGATTCTGCAAACTCTGCCGTGAAATGAGCAGGAATACCAGCTCTTCGGGCACACAAGCAACTGAGCATAGTGGGTTCCGAGGGAGGGGATTACTGCCCTTCTTGGTTCTGTTTCATTTCCACCACCTGGCAGTTTGTTGCCCTTAAATCTGCGAAAAGTGTGACGCTTGGCTTCAGAACTCAGACTCATTCCTGTCCTTCTCCCCGCCTCCCTTTCAGCTCTTGTACTGCTGGCGAGTTGGAGTGCACGGGTGAGTAGGGACTCGTCTTCCTCCAGCTCATTCAGGAATCGTGAGATAAGCGACATGGGATCCTTTGTAGGCCATCGACGAAGCAGAAGCGCATAGCCACACTTGTGACTGCCCGTCTGAGACTAGCACCAACCAGGACAGCTGTTCATAGAGAATCGCTCTTTAAAACCAGGGCTGCAAGGGCTTGTCAAATAACTCTCAGTGGTGGTGGCCAGTACCCACGAGTGTTTTCCCCACTGCATGCATGCCCTGACGACATTAGATTCTTCTGTGTTCTCTACTGCATGCGTTCCCTGACATCTGATACTCATGTTTCCCCTACGACATGCATGCTCCGACACCTGATTCCCAGGACTGTTTTCCCTACTGCACGCCTGCCCTGACATCTGTAATAGGGAACTAAGAGGGGAAAGAGGCATCAGTCAAGGCAGCATAATGAAGGGATAAAGATAAAACAACACAGAGAGGATAAATGTGGATTCAGGGACTCATGAGAAAAAAAAAATGTTACAGATGAGGCCTGAGCTTAGGATGTGGCATGGTGCTGAAGCTCTTGCACTGCCAAGAGGGGCAAAGTCCTAGGTTCAGTCTGCAGGATGTCCACAAGCCTACAGAAAACCTCAAGGAGTTTCAGAAGAACTTATGCCCTATTCTTCCTTTGTATTAATAGCCATAAGGTCATGAAAACAAAAGACACGTGGTTTGTAGATGACTTAGATGTAATGTTCTGTCAATATTTTCAGTTCCTGCCAATAATAGTCATCTGTATTCATTTCAGAAACGCCTCCTACAAATTCAACACCGACAGGTAATATTCCATTCCAATTCTCTTTCAACCGCTGGGCCTGATCTTTGTGTCAATAGCTCTTTATTTCTAATTTTATACAATGTAGTGGCAGTAAAAAAAAAAAAAATATGTTGGCAAACCGGATGATATAAATGTAAAATTAAATTTAAAACACCAGAATATTATTTTATCATATTTTTACAAATTAAGTCAGCAAAGTGATTACAACTTGCCATAAATATTCCCTGCTACTTAGTTAAATATCATTACCCTGAGTTTGACATTTTTAGGTGATAATTAAATAAGTGGTAAAATGAAATAAATGTGGTGTCTTAATGATATAAATATTTGAAAATTATAATCACACTTAGAGATGATTTGAAAATGTAAATACTTCATTCCCTATAGTCTTAAATCATGTAATTATATTATTTGGTAGAGGTATTTAATTTATGTACATGTAAGAGAATTCTTCGGCAAATTTGCTTGCCGCGTTTTGGAGATGTTGAGTTTACTGGCAGTTTGAACACGCTTGAGGTTGCTACAGCACACTCCTCCCTTGTGTGGTTTAGAAGGGACTTTATTTCCCGTTGTCTACGGTTTGGAGGTCACAGCAATCAAGTGGTTGTGGACCTTCGACTCCAGAGATAAAGTTAGAGGGCCTAGTCTAAGTGCTGGTGACACTGCAGATACAATTGCCCACCTTTCTGAGGCTGACTTATCATTTATCGGGGTTCTGAACTGCACTTCTTGGTCTCTATGCAGCCTTTATAAAGTTCCGGGGGGATTCAGATAGCTGATAATGAATATATTAGAATATAATAGAAAATAATTCATTATTTCTGTGGGCATATGATACTTAGTGCTTTCTGTACTGATTTATATATGACAGTGTTTTGTCACTTAACTTCTATGGATAATTTCATAAATTTTAATTTTATTTGAAGACAACCTATTTCTTGAATGAAAGTCCCTAACAAAGATTCCTCAACTAACCTGTTTTCCTAAACACTGTGTTCCCAAACAGCTTCTATGACCACAGCTACTTCCATGTTAAGCACCTCAACAGGTAAATACACATAAAACGTTCTGTATTAGTTTTAGTTTACACATGGAAAATGAAGTAAGTGTGAAGTTCAGGCATGTGAGCCCTGCCTTCAACCTGTCAGTCTTCGTTGACCTCTGGTTGAACTAAAAGTGAAGAGCCTCATCCCTACAGCAATCTCTCTGGAACATTTTGCATGTTGTTGGCTAGGAGGTAGCAACTATCTCATGGCTAGTAGATTACAGAGATAGCTTGAAATATGTAAAAGTCTGACAAATTAGCCTGACCGATGGAATCTAGCAACATATGTACATTTTTGGAGATCTTACCTAGATGAATACAGCTTAAGCTTTGTCTTGATATAATTTTAACCTATGTTTCCAAAACATTTATCTCCTCTGAATGGCAGTGACACCAGTGGCCAGCAGCTCCAGCTCAGGTAAGTCTCTGTCAGCAGGGAATTTCAGACACGTCTGCCTTTTCCTTCCAAGGTTTGTTTTGGCCTTTTGGGGAGGAAAATGTGTTAGAAATGTTTTTCTCAGGGAAAAAAAATCACATACAATGTTTTCTGACTTTTGTTTGTGATTTCTAATGGTTAGAATATAGCTTCCAGATTGTACTTTGTCTTTGTGATCAAAGTTTTCTGAAGCATTAATTTTTTAAAAATATCTTTTACTTATTACAATTTATTCACTTTGTATCCCAGCTGTAGCCTCCTCCCTTGTCTCCTCCTAATCTCACCCACTTTCCTTCTTCTCCTCCCTCCCTTTTCTCCTCCCATGCCCCTTCCCCATGAAGCATTAATTTTGAGTTTAACTGTTTTATGGATGACTCTAGCTGCTCTCAAAAGTGTAATATTTCTCCACATGAACTTTAGTTTTTCAATCAGTTTCTCACATTCAGCAGTTTTCCACTCCAGGATTACACCATCAAGCAGTGAATAAATAGGTAGTTTAATCAGAAAGCTTATGAAATTAGCAATAATTTTTAAAAATTAAATCTCAAGATTTTTTAAGCTACGACCCTAGACTACTTATATATAGTAAAACATCGGTTTGATTGTGTATTTGAACAACTGAGGTCTAAATTTTCCCATCCAGAGCTCTTAGTTTATCCACTATAATCAATTGGTAGGCTTCAGTACCTTAGACAAATGAAAACATGGGAAAACATTGTTGAGAAAAAGTGGCTGACCAATGTATCACTATGACTTTATACCTTTATGCTCCCTCCTCCCCACACAAAGCACATTAAGAAAAATCATAAAGGGATTTGCCCTTCAAAATCTACACTATCTCTACCTCCTTTCCTATGATCAGGGCCTCCTCCCATCAGCCTTCTTGACCTCTCTTTCTTCTTTGAATTATTAATTTCTTGAAGTTTCTTGACTTGGCTTTCCATTCTAGTATTCCCAAGTACATTTAGGGTCAAACTATGCAATTATATCTGATAAATACTTTAATAATGAATGGAAACTCTAATACATTGAAAATTTGTAACTATACATATTTTTAAAAAGAAAATTAATAATTCAGCTTCTACATTTTGACATAGAGTTTCTGGTGATGGCTAGATTAGTATCAGGATATTATTTGAGCTAATAAATCCTTAAACTCATGTATCTTACTTATTGAAGATAATCTTTCTTCTATAGAGTAAAAATATATAAAGCTGAGGTGATTCTTTGAGTATAAAGTCACATAATATAAAATGAATATAATTCAAAACATTTTATAATGCTGAGTGTTATTTATTTGGAAATCAGTATCCTTTATATAAAAATAAATGAGTCTGGGCAAAGAAAAAGGAAAGCAATTAACTATATTAAAATGTCAGCCCTCAGGCCCACAAGATGGCTTAGCTGGTAGGGGGTTTTGCCACCCAGCCTGAGGATTTGAGGTTGATCCCTGGTATCCACGTTGTGGAAGAAAAGAGCCAACTACTAAGGTTGTCCTCTGACCTCCACAAGTGTGATATGGCATGTAACCCTCCCAAAAAAACCCACGTGTTAAAAATGACTGTGATATTATTGCCAACTATAGCTTACAGCTGCATCGTTATTTTTGCCAGCTTCATATTCTGTTAGATTTTCATCAGCAACACAAAAGAAACAGAAATCTTAGAAAGACTGGCTCATTTCAAGATGGTTTTTTTTTTTTTTTCCTGTATTGTGTAATCATTACGTCATGTCCCCAGGCCAATTGCAATTTTAACCAGTGGGTTTTCTGCATGTTTTCATATTAGTACAGAATTAGAATCTCCACTGAGCATCAGCGGGGCCCTGGGCAGTGAACCACACGCCTAATGCTCAGCTTAGCATTGCTTCTGAGATGACAGGCTGGTTCAGATCCAGTGTTCCATTGTAGCTAGTTATCTATGAAAGCTTTGAGTCTTGTGACTGTTTAAACGCAGTGTCCATGAGTGCTTTCATCCCAGAGGCATGCCAGGGTGCGGAGTAGTTGGGGTGACTGGTGCAGGCACTGGTACAGAACAGCTGTATACCACGTCACTGCAATTTCTTGTTTCTTCTCCCAGTCCTCAGTTATGAGTAAACCTTCTGTTTAATTTTGCTAATACTTCGCACTGACACAAACTTCGCAGAATTTTGAAAGAGAAGGGGTTTTGTTAGCAGCTGATAAAATGTTCTGTGTAAAATGTGTCTCTTCAAACCTATGTCAACTATATCCTCTTCATTCTATCACTTTACAAATGGAAACGTTAGTGTAGAGCTGAGTTGGAGGGAAGACCGCCTATAACTATGCCATTGACTTAACTCAAATGTACTATTGGTGATGTTTGATGTTTTGTCTCAAAGAACCCTAGCATTATATTTAGTGTTGCTGAAATTCCAGTGGCTGGTTTGTGATTTATATAGTATTAGTACCTCACTAAGTTCTCAACCTACCGGGTCATGATCCCCTTGGGGGGTCACATATCAGATATCCTCCATATCAGAGATTTATATTATGATGCATTACAGAAGCAACAGCTATGAAGTAAAAACCAAATAGCTTTGTGGTTGGGGTCACGACAACATAGAGAACCACATTGCAGGGTCACAGCATTAGGAAGGTGGAGAGCTCCCGTGCTCAGTGCTGCACTAGCATGGCATGGAAGGGTCAGCTAGTCACTTGGATTTGCAGCAGTCTGCACTGTCAGGTCCTTTTGTTTCGCATCTCAACAATCCTCACTTCCTCCCCACAAGACGCTCTCTGCTTGACTTTATAGGTAACTTTAATAATGTTGCCGATGTTTTGAAGATTCTGAAGACATTTGGGGCACCAACAGGAATACAAATAGGAATCAGGGTTCTTTCTGTTGTATTTTTACTATCCGCAGAGCCAGAAATGATAGTTGATGTCTAAAACCAGTAGATGAAAGCAAAATAATTTTAATTTCTTTCACTTTAAAATTGTTCCACTATGCTAAAAGTTATGCGGGCATTTTAAAATTAGTTAAGTAACCCCCGTGTATATAAAGTTAATATGAATCTGTCAGGTGATTTGGATTTGGATCTCCTCCTGGTCCTACCCTCTCTCCCTCTTCCCCCCTATGTCCCTGCCCTAGTCCACTGATAGGGGAGGTCTGCTTCCCTTACTATCTGTTCCTAGTCTATCAGATCTCATCAGGACTGTCTGGATCCTTTTTCTCTGTGGCCTAAAAAGGCCACCCCACCAGGGGGAGGTGATCAAAGAGCAGGCAACAGAGTTCAGAGACTTCCCCTGCTCCCCTTATTAGAAGATCCCAATGGAGACTGAGCTACCCATGGGCTGCACCTCAGCAGAGGGTCTATGTCCTCTCCATGCATGGTCCTTGGTTGATTTATCAGTCTCTGCAGGTCCCCCTGTGCCAAGATATTTTGGCTCTGTTGGTCTCCTTGTGGAGTTCCTGTCCCCTCAGGTCTTTCTTGGACATTAGCCATATAACATAGGATAAACATACTGAAACCTATAGTCCTAAGGAAGCTAAACAACAAGGAGAACCCTAGGGAAGGTGCTTAATCCTAAATCAGAACGGCAAACAGGATAGACATCAGAAGTGGAAGAAGACAGGGAACAGGACAGCAGCCTACCATGGACTGCCTTTGAAAAACTCTACCCAGCAGGGTATTGAAGCAGATGCTGAGACTCATAGCTGAAGTTTGGGCAGCGTTCAGGAAATCTTATGGAAGAAGGGGGAGACATATATTGTTTTATATACAGTAGTTTTTTTTTTTTCTTTCAAAGGGCTAAAACCATCCAAGGGATGGCAGACATACCATTTCCATAAAAGTGTTATTTCAAGAAGAACAGTATGGTGGTAGCTGCTGGATTTCCCCTTCCTGGCAGCTTTTGTAGATGTAGCTGACATGTGCTAACTCATCTGATACTGAAAACTTATGAGATAGTATCAAATGTTGCTTCCTATTTGTGAGTGTGTGGCTCAGAGAGGAATGTGTCTGAAGTTATTTGCTCAAGAGTTCCAAGCAGAGAATTACAATCTAGAATTTGTTCATGCTCTAGTTCTGATGCCTCTGTTTGATGTTTAAAAGAGAAACAGATGCCGAACAATCTGAATCTTTACTGAAGGAGCATCACTCAAACTGAGGTTCTCATTTCAAATTGGAACTTATCTTAACATTTTAAAATCATCTTTTAGTAACTTGTTAGTCAGTCAATTCTCTAAACAGTTGAAATAAAATGTATCTTTAAAACATGAATGGAAGTCCAATGTAACAGCATAACAGCGGCCCGGAAGCAGGCTTTTATTTTAAAAAAGTATTGAGAAAAAAAAATATGCTAAGAATTAGTGTAACTCAGTAAAGTTGCTGGGAAATGTCTTTACAAGAACAATAACAAAAAATTTAAAAAAGCATTAAGTAGAGCAAATTTTTGAAAGATAATATTGAAATGTTATAAGAAGTTTTCAGAGAAGTATGGTCAGGAATTTACTCCATTTATTTATTCTATTTTTTTTCATAGTAGAAAGATTAGAGAGTTCGATGGCCCATTGCTAACAAAGTCCATGTAGACATTAGATGACAAAGTCCTTCCCTGTTTTCTCAGGTTCTGCTGGAACCTCAGCTCCCGCTGTCTCCACAGCTGGAAGTGCAGGCACCACAGAAGCCCCAAGCTCAAGCTTCAGTAGTTCCGCCCTCACAACAGCAGGTACATTGATTAATACACAACAAATAATCTTGGTCTCAGCCAAGGAACTGGTTCAGACACGCTACACAGATAATAGTTTTCAAACTATTATAATAGAAAGTCAAACTTGCATAATTTTTTCATGGATCTTAGCCTTCCAATAACTTATTTATGTGTATTGTGTTACAATTATATACTTCTACTCCCTGGTGTGTGGGAACTCAAAAGCATTTTTTAAGCCTGGATAATTGATATTTTTTTTCTTTTAAGGGTCAACCGGAAGTTCTCAAGGTATAACCACAGAGGCAAAGATTCAAAGTACAGTTGGCACAAGCTCCTCAACAGGTAAGACAAGAACATCCAAAGCTCTGCTTTGCAGTATGATGGCCTAAGTAGCCCTCTATTTCTGCTCAACTTACAAGTTTATCCTGTGAAGAACACAAGATAACAAGTGCCTGCTGCCTAGGCTAACTCACTTGGAATCCTGAAAAAAATCCAAGATTCTTATATGATGACAACATTAGTGAGTCTATTAGTTCACAGTCTTGTAGTTCCAGGGCTCTGTTATAGGGACGGCCCACCTATTTGAATACACATGGTAGATGGTAACTGGAAACACACACATCCAGATGGGACCCCTACATAAGAACAGGCTGAGTCTTTCACAGATGTCCCTTCCTGAGGACCACATTGATCCTTCGCCAATAACATCTCCTTCCTGTTAGGTTCTACTATATCAACTCCTAGCCACCTTGGGGTAAAAACCCTCAAAACATAAACCACTAAGAACACTCAAGCCGTATTCACACTATATAAATAATACTTTCTACCCCACAGTATAGTTTCTAATATGCATGAATATATGACTGCTCTTAATAGTCATAATCTCAACAGCATTTCTATGCCATTATTCTAATGAGATGAGAAACTAGTAGAAGGTTTCAAGCTGGCAAAGACAGACTGGGATACAGAATCCTACACCTCGTATGTAAGAGCTGAGGTTTGTGGTCTCTGTAAAAGATCTCTAATGTAATAAATACCAAAGAGAACATTCTTGCCCATGCACAATGATGACTATATCTGACCTATATTCATAATGTTCATGAACAAGATATTGCTGTGCTTTGAACATAGATATTTTTTATTATGAGCAGAATTTTAAGTTTCTTCTGGCTCTCCTTCAATCAGTAGTTTGAGAAACTTCAGTGTGGACTAGGGGAGGGGCATGGGGGAAAGAGGGAGGAAAAAGGGTGGAATTGGGAGGAGAAGAGGAAGGGGGCCACAGCCAGGATACAAATTGAATAAATTGTAATAAATGATAATAATTTTTTTAAAAAAACTTCGTTTTGTGAAAAATTAAGAAGCATGAGATGCGGGAGCTTAAGGATAAGGAATTTGACTTACTTCCATTAATTACTGTTTTCTGGTAAATGAATATTTAACCAAAACAATATATTGTCAGATTATTAGATATCCATTGAGAAAGAAGTTGTCATTAAGTATTATGAGGGTAGACACATTTTATAAGAGGAAAGGAAATACTATTTTTTTTTTCATTCTTAAAAAAATCTCCAATTCAACTTTCTTACACAACTCTTTTAACTATGATAACTACCAGGCACCCCCACACCACCATCTGTTGCCACCTCTGGAAGGGCAGGGACCAGCACCACTGCACCCGCAAGTACCTCAGCCTCAGGTTCAGGTGAGACTCACTAGCATTCGGTGATGCCTCAGCAGCTCCTTCATTCTCTTGCTGCCCCAGTTGATGGTCTGGAAATTTGTCCTGCGTGAGCGAGTCAAATTCATGACGCCGGAAGCAGTACAAGAATGTGACTCATCGCGTTTAATCCTGCAAGTGCATTCACGTGCATGAGGATGTTTGCGATCATAGCAGTCTCCAACATCCATGTTTTCCTGTCCTAGGGAGCACAGAGACATCCACAGGCCACACTACCCGCCTTCCAGGCTCCACTGTATCCCCAGCTTCTGCCACCAGTAAACCAGGTAAGTGTAAGAGGGAGACTATGAGTGCTTAGTTGTCAAGTGAAGGGCTAGGTATATCCCAGTTCTGTATATGGAAATGTAAGAGTGGCATGCATATTAAAAGGCTCTGAGACCTCATGTATCTAATGGGGGACTGAGTATATTTCCATTTATTAATATGGAGATATAAGAATGACATGTATGTTACATGGCTATGAGGACTTGGGTGTCAAATGAGGGACTCATTATATTTCCATTAATTCTCACAGGAATGTGGAATTTCTCATATATTTAGAGAAATAAATCTAGCATCATGACAAAGATTGTGTTAGTTGAGGTTTCTCTTACCTTATGCCATAGTGTCTTTATGTGTACTTTGAGGCATGGATGGCCCCCATTCTTTCCTTGGAGCTAAGGTCACTGATTTTTGTGGGGTTAAGGCTTACCAGTCTGACTGTAAACTCACACTGAATAGAAAAATTTTAATTATTCATTTTCAGGACTATTAAATGTGGTTTCTTGTACAAAGCACCAAGACAGAAATATGTGAAAGACCCAGGTAGTTTCAATATGCATCTGAGTACTGGATTCAAGTAGATGCATATAAAGAACATTAACAATCCTGTCTCCATGGAGAATCAAATGATCCCAGAAAAAAATTTCTCATAGCATATAAAGTTTAGAAAGATTGAATCAACAAGATGGAGGACCCATTAAATAAATAGAGACTCTACATCACAGAGCAAAGCAAGGTTGAAGGGGCTTATTCTGTTCACATTTTGAGGTAAATTCTTCATGACAGGGAAACCACAGAGAGAAGAGTGGTTCAGATGTGATTTTGGGATGACAAGGAAGATGCTCACACTGTCCATAGTGAGGAAGCAGATTGTTGAATGCTGGTGCTCTCATGGTTTATCCATTTCCCTTTCAGACTCAGTCTAGGAGTACAACTCAGTTGTCCCCTATCTAAAAAGACACTTCACCTCTCTGTAATATAATCAGAGATGTGCCCAGAGGTGTGTTCCAAATGGTTAAAAATTCCCACATCAAAGTCCCAGAGGATGAGATGAAGTTTGTCAAGTATTTGTTTTGAGTCTGGTGTTGAAGTATACATGCAGTATTTGCTGAACAATGCAGGGACCCAGTGATCTCGTGCATCTTCATGTTTTGCATAAAATTAACATTGATGAGATGTGGGAGCCTGAAACTACGTTGGAGTGCAGTCGGGTGGACAGAAAGGCTCACAGGGTCTTAAGTCAATTCTAAAGTCATCAGCATTCATCCGAGAGGAATTGACTTACTTCCACAATTAGTGTTCTTTTTTTTCTAGCTTATGAATACTTAATAAAATCACTTTGCTATAAAATTATTTTATTTCAATGATGAAGAAGTTGTCATTGAACTTCGTAACAGTAGGCACTTTTTATTTCATCAAAGGGAAAATGACTATTTTTATTCTTTTTTAAAGACAATTTTCTTTTCATTTATTTTTTTTACTCATCACTTTTAACCACAGGCACCCCAGGGACTTCATCTGGAACCACCTCTGAAAGGGTAGAGAGCAGCACTGTGGCACCTGCTAGTACTGGAGTAGTTGTTTCAGGTGAGACTCCCTAGACTTTGGTGATGCCTCAGCTGTTCATGTATTCCCTTGCTGCCTCCGGTGATGGTCTGGAAGTTTGACCTCTGAGTTTGTGAGTAAAATTGATGGCGCAGAAAGCAGTGCAAGAATGAGTCTTCTCATGTTTCATCCTATACATTCACTCACCTGAGAATGTCGGCAATCATAATAGTCTCCAACATCCATGTTTTTCTGTCCTAGAGAGCACAGTGACATCCACAGGCCACACTACCAACCTTCAAAGTGCCAGTCTGTCCCCAGCTTCTGCCACCAGTAAACCTGGTAAGTAAAAGAGGGGAGGCAATGAACAGTCACGTGTCAAATAGAGGGTTGAGTATATTCACATTTACTCTTATGGGAATTTAGGAATGATGAGTATATTAAAATTTTATGGATCCTTATGTGTCAAAGGGGGAACTGAAACTATCTGCATTTATTAATATGGAAATAAAGAATGCCACATAAATTACAAAGCTATGCAATTACAAGAGAATGTGTGGGTTTCACATGAGGACTGGTTATTTCTCCATTTTTTTCACATGGAAACATGAAATTTTTATTTATTTAGAGAGAAATACATTAAGAGAAATAGCATTAAGAAGAGGGGTGCATTAGTTAATGTTTCTCTTGCCTTATGCCATAGTTGGTGTCCTTATGTGTACTTTGGGACTTTGATGGCCCTGATTCCTTCCTGGAGCTTGAGAACACTGAATCATGAAGGTTAAGGGTTATTATTCTGTAAACTCACATCAAGTAGAAGAATTCAGAAGTTCTTTTTTATCAGAGCAACTAAATGTAGATTCCTGTATGAAGGGCCAAAGACAGAAATATATGTAAAAGGACCAGTTGGTTTCAATAAGCATCTGAGTACTGGATTCAAATAGATGAACATGAAGGAAGTAGACAGTCTTGTTTCCATGCAGAATCAAATGAGCCTAGAAAAGAATCCATGGTACCATACAAAATTTAGAAAAATTGAATCAGCAATAGGGAGTATCTATACATGAACGAAGACTCACCACCTCAGAGACAGTGAGAGCTACTGCTCAATCAGTGTCCTGACACTGTGTGTTGTTAAAGAAACTGCAGGATCATCTCCAGGAACAACTAGATCCACAAGCAGTCAGCTGACCTCATCTCAAGAAAAAGAAGGTGAGTTGATGTCTCCTGGAGAGAATGAGGCTGGGGGCCAAATGGGGACGGATTTGCCTATGCATTATTCATTCAAAATAACTTCCACTTAGATATATATAATGCAAATAATGGAGACCTTGTTGGTGACATAATTCAAGATGCAGACAGGCATTTTTCAGAAGCAAATGAAAATAGGGTCCAGGGAGATGTACCTCATAAAAAGCTCTACAGTTGGCTCAAAAGAGAAAGCGGAGCTGTGACACAAAACCCCTGTGTCTTAATTTGAAGTAAATCAGTTTTCGGAGTTTTACTTCTTTCCAACAGGTCAATCAGTGCTCTAAAGAATGGTCAGGGTTATGGAAGATTGTACGATCACTGCTAGAAAAAGCAGAATAGAGGATAATACTGTAATATAAGGAAGATAATTGAAAGCAATGGCAGCCTCATCTGTACTCCTGTTACAAACATCCTGCTGAATAATTACTGTTCTCATTGAAAGGGACTACGGCACCATCAACCAGGGGAACATCGGGAGCCCTGAGCACTGAATCAACCCAGCCTTCAGACAAGTCAAGTGAGTACAGGCTAATGTGAGAAAGTCATGGGTTTGGACAAGTGTGGGATCTTCACTTTCCCTTGTTCATTTGAAATCAATGTACAGCGTTAAATGGACATATGAAGATCAAATGAAAAGGGAGAAAAATGTCACGTTGAGAGGTGTTCTCCTTGACAAAACAAAAAGACAAGGCTTTTGATAACATGACACTATGTTCACAGCATAGACATGATTGAACAGAAAATCACTGGACCCTTTCCTTCTGATGATTACACACTGGGATGATAGTCCACATTTCAAATCGACAATCAGACAGACAGATCGTACAGAGGAAACAGAGCCAAGTATCAAATGCTTCTTCGCAGGTCCATTTCTAGAATTACCAGGGTCTAAAGAATGCCTTGACCCTGAGTGTGATCATAGGGGAGAGAAATAATTTATATGAACATATATAAATGCGAACACATATCTAACAACTGGACTGAATAAAGTTTTGCAGGCTAAACCTTTTCCCTGATGGCTTGTTATACAAAGAACTCAAAAAACTAAACATCAAAAAAAAAAAAAAAAAAAAAAAAAAACAAGCCAATTGAACAAAGAGTTTTTACAAAATGCTTGAGTAATATATATATTTTTTCGAACACTCAAAATCCTTAAAGGAAACTTTAAAACTACTACTTTGAAATTTTATTGAATCCTGCTCAGAATGGCTAAGATATAAATAATGATACATTAAAAAATGACAACAGATGCTTGTAAGAATGTGGAGAAAGGGAAACATGTACTTACTTTTGGGATAGCAAACTGGTGTAGCCACTATGAAAATCAGTATGGAGGTTCCTCAGAAAACTAAAAAAAAAAAAAAAAAAATAGAACTAACACCACATTACCCAACTTTAGTATGTACAGTTATACAAAGGACTCACATCCTACTAGAGGAACTTGCTCATATATTGTTCAAGGCTGCTTTATTCACATTAGCCAGGGCATGGAAACAGCACAGATGCCCATCAACTGAGAAATGAATAATGAAAATGTGTTATATTTACACAATGGAATATTATACTTACAGCTATTTTCTTAATCACAATTAAAATCAGGCACATCAAAGGCATCATCCGGAACAACTTCTGGCATGGCAGGTGGTAGCAGTCCTACAGCTGCCAGTACAGCAACCCCAGGTTCTGGTAAGAGACTAAATATTTCCTTATCAACTCCCTCATGTTCAAGTAATCAACCTGAAGAAGAGGTTGAGTCTAAAAGGTCTGTGATGGTGGTGAGGAGCTGCCATTTTTGTTTCTTATTCTAAAAATCTAAAATTCTAACAATCGAAGGCACACCTAAGAATGTTGACAGTAATATGAATATCCACTCCTGCATACTTTCCTGGTTTTAGGGAGCACAGCAGTGTCTTCAGGCCACACTACCAGCCCTGGAGCCTCCTCAAGAGTGGCCTCAACCTCTGCCAACAGCAAATCAGGTAAGTAAACGAGAAGGCTGCGAAGCTTCAGAAATCTAAGTGTTGTGGATGTTCTCACTTGTGTCTGTGGAAGGTAGGAAGGACATGTATATTTCAGAGAAAGGAAGCCCAATTCCTGATCTATTCTTGAGCTCATAGCAGAGATATCTGTCACCTTATGATATCATTAGAGTTCTTGTGTGCGCTGAAGAATCATGATGATCCTGAGAGCCCTGCCTTGAGATTAGGGAAGCTGTGGCTTTCTAGGCCAGCTACAAATTAGCATCAACTATAAAAGTTCAAAATTCTGTTCTTCACAGTCTCCTTAAATGTGGAATGCTGAGGGAGGGGAAAAAGCATCTAGTTGAAAATATATGAAAGATCCAGTTGTTTCTGTGTACCAGCTAGGCTCTGGGATCAAACAGATGGATTCTAATGTTAACCTTATTTCTATTAAAATTTTTAAAAGTCTAGCAACAGATTTGAAGTCTAAGGTGAGAATTTATGATCATAATTTGGGAAGACTGGAGCAGAAGTAGGAAGCATCCACAAATGAGGACACAACAAAACAAACAAACAAACAAATAAATAAATAAAAACCAGTCATGGTGTCACAGGCTTTTAATCCTAGCACTTTGGAGGCAGAGGCAGGTGGATATCTGTGCATTTAAGGCCAACCTGATCTACAAAGAGAGTCCAGGACAATCAGGACTCCATTACACAGAGAAACCCTATCTCAAAAAACCAAAAGAACCAAAACAACAACAACAACAAAAAGATTAATCATTTCATTTTACCAATAAAGACTCAGGAGTTAGCTGCTGGAGTGAAAGCTTGCTGTCTCAAAAAGGCTGAGAAAGCACCCAGCTGACCTTCCTTCTCAGCCAACGTTCCAAAATCAAAAAATCATGCTAAGTGAGGTAACCCAGAAGCAGAAAGACACACATGGCATATACTCCTAAGTGAATATTAGACATATAACATAGGATAAACATACTAAAATCTGTACCCCTAAAGAAGCTAAGCAAGAGGGTAGACCCCAGGGAAGATGCTCAGTAAGAAGGGCAAATGGGATAGAGACTGGAAGAGGGAGAAGACAGAGTATAGAAGAGGACCCTACCACAGAGGGCCTCTGAAAGACTCTACGGATTAGGGTATCGAAGTAGATTCTGAGACTCATAGCTAAACTTTGGGCAGAGTGCAAGGAATCTTATGGAAGAGGGGGCAGATAGAAGGACCTGGAGAGTACAGGAGCTCCACAAGGAGAACATCACAGCCAAAAAAAACCTGGGCCCAGAGGTTCCTGTCGAGACCCATGCTCCAACCATGGACCATGCATGGAGAGGACCTAATACCACTGCTCCAATATAGCCCACAGGCAGCTAAAAGTGGGTTCCCTAAAAAGGTGAGTAGGGACTGTCACCGAAATGAACTCAGTGGCTGGCTCTCTGATCACCTCCCACTGGGGGATGCAGCCTTGCCAGGCCACAGAGGAAGACAATGCAACCAGCCCTGAGGAGACCTGATAGGCTAGGGTCAGATGGAATGGGAGAAGGACCTCCTCTATTAGTGGACTTGGAGAGGAGCATGGGAGGAGATGAGGGAAGGTAGGTGGGATTGGGAGGGAATGAAGGAAGTAGCTACAGCTGGGATACAAAGTGAATAAATTGTGATAAATAATAAAATAAAAGCCTTCTTCTACGTGCTATCTCAAAAAACTCTCAAACTGAATGTTCCTCCCTTCTACTTCCTGTATGTCTCTCTATCCATCCCCTGACTTCCTCTTCCTCTCTGTGGTTTTTTTCCTGCTGTTTGCCTGTTCTGCCCTTGATCTAGGATTAACTTTATTTAATCCTGTTTACTTTACTCAAGCAGAAAGCTCTTGGATTAAAGTATGTGCTAGGGCTGAGCCGCACCACAACTAGAAACAGGTTCACAGTAAGATCAAATATCCTTTCAACAGTCCTATGCTTATTTTCTATTTACAAATTTCATTTTATGGAACTTATGACAAAATAGTGTTCTGAATAAGCTTTTCCTAATATTAAAACAACTGAGGCTAGAGATATAATCTATATAGTGCAGGAAAATTAAGGAAGTGACTCAGTTTAATTAAATTGACTAACTTAGCATATATCTTATGTAATGACCATTTATCTAATAATTAAGGTCTACATCCATTACTGGGTGATTTGGCATCTTTCTTGGCTATTGCTGGGTTATCCGGTGAGTAGCACAGTGATTTTCAGCAGAGTTCCCAAAGCTTGTGCATGCATGGCTAGCTCCTACAACTGTGCAATACTGCTCATGATGAGCAGGAGGTGAAAAAGAGAACAAAGAATCTGGGGATGTTACATTTTCTGTAATATGAACAATTGCTTAAATATTGTGAGGTCTGGTTAAAACAACTTGTATTGGCTTTTGCATATGGGAATTCTCAGAGCACCTGTCTATCACAGACTCAAAATTTTACAAATTGATGTTTGTCCACATATGTTGTTTAAAAGAAGGAAAATCCCAACCATTCTATTTTACTAATAAAGACTCAGGAGCAGATGCTAGGATGAAAACCTGCTAGCTCAGAGAGGCAGAGAAAGTAACCAGCACATCTTCCTTTTTAGCTCAGGTCTGGATGGAAAAAGCCCAAAAGGCTCCCTAGCTCAGCTGACAGCCCAGGAGCAAAAGTCCAAAAGGCCAAAAATAACAACAACAAAAACAAACAGACAAACAAACAAAACGGCAGGCTAGCTCCAAGCCCCAAAAGCCAGGGAGCTGAGGAGCTGACACCTAAGATAAAGCCAGAGCTTGAGCTAACAGCCCTTTCTTTTTCTTCATGCTGTTTTAACTACCCCTCAACTCAAAGTCTTTCCTACTCTTTAATCCCTGTCAGCTGGTTTCTTGCTCTGCCTCTTGACCTAGGGTTAACTTTATTAAATCCTCTGTACAGAAAGCTCTTGGATTAAAGGTGTGTGCTAGGGAGGATTTCGAGTGTGAGCGTGAACACAGCAGGATCGTGGGCCTAAGCACAGCAGTACCATGAGTATGACTATACCAAAACCATGACTGTTGGATGATCAGGACCTTGAGTGTGATAACGGAAGGATTGTGAGTGTGAGCACAGTAAGGCTATGAGTGTGAGCCTATTTTCTGTAGGTAAGATTTATGTACAATCCAAAGAAGTAATAAGAAATTTGCACCATATGGCCTAGCATGAAAAGCTCTGAGACAGAAGCAGAGTAGATCTTCTTTCTGTAGTTAGCCTGAATGTGTATATGGCTCCAGTGTCTTAAAGACTCCTCACAGGTTGTAAGACATTAGGTGTTGAAAGGGGAATGTGAATTGCAAAGGTGGCTTAGATAGGAGAATCACTGGAGATATTTTAATGTGAACGGAGAGACCTTCAGACTCATGAACTTTAGAACTGTGGGAAACCTGGTATTAGAAAGTTTAGTACATTTCAGTGTAACCTCATAATATAAACACTGAGATAAGCTTAGGGACATTAAATACATAAGTAACTGGCAAACGGAAATGCATCCAACAAAATAATGGAGGAAACACAGTTATTCTAACCACTGTGTATATTTACTGATCAAATGTTGGAAATGCTGAATTGGAAAGGAAGAAGTGAAAATGAATATATGAAACAGATGTGAAATCAGAGAGCAGAACGCCATGATGAACCTTATTAGAGGTCCTAATATCTATTTTCTGTTCTCTCTGAAAGGGACTACTACACCATCAGCTGGTGAAACAACTAGAATCTCAAGCAGTGAATCAACCCAGCCTAGAAGCGAATCAGGTGAGCAGGATATATTCAGAGTTGTGGAGTCATTATCACCCGTTTCTTCCATAAAGCACAGTAGCTACATCAAATGTATGAATATCTGTTTGACCCAGTTCTGGGTGCTTAACTGTGTCTGTGTAAAAACTGTGTCATAAAATGAAAATCAGCACATTTGAGACTATCACAGCAGAATAAAAGGTTAGGGAACACATGGCTGACATTTCCTGCATCCATCTATTGCATTTTTCTTCAGAGGGGTAATATGAAAACTTAGTTCTGCATTGGTAGCTAAGTCCATCCAAACTTTAAACAAGTCATCACTTTAATGTTTTCTCATGCTCTGCTGAAACCTCCTCAGCCAGAAGTGCAGGAACCACAACAAAGCTGCACTCCAGCTCCATAACTTCTGCACTCACAGAAGTTAAACGCAGCTGTGGATAAAAATCCTGGCCCAAGCCCTTTTAAAGGAATTCTTAACTGACACTATTAGTTTTCTGACAGACAACAGCAGGCTTAGTTGCTCCTTGTATTTAATTGTAGTTAATTGAATTTAATATTTTTCGACTTTCATAGTTGCTTTGCTTTAATGTATCACATTGTACTTTCAGGCTCCTCCATCCTTAAAGTGATGATACTGATGCAGATATTTAGGCAGCTAATTATTATTATTTTTTTCTGTATCTTATTAGAGACAACTCCAAAGTCTTCCAGCGTAACCGCAGGAATAGACAAAGGCAAAAGAAACGACAGTGGCTTATCATTCAGAGAAGGTAACTCTGCATAATAAGTCAATAGGAAACACGTAAAAATCTGTTAATAAAATAAGGACATAGCTACTCGATACTTCATAGTTCCCCTGTTGACCTCACACATGTACCTTGTAAGTTTGTAAATATTAGTGGTTGGGGGGGTAACATTTCTGTGAGTTGAGATATTATCAAATGTACAAATGTGAAAGCAGCCTTGGAACTCCCCTATTCTGGGAGGTGTAGATGAAAGCTGAAAGTAACAAAAAAAAAAATAATAAAATACGCTTGTCCATGTCCATGTGAATCTAGGCTATTCGGTATCTTGACTTAAAGCGTATGACTTAGAGACTTTGCAGGACATTATTCCTTAAAGAGATAATGGGTTGAAAAATGGAATTTACAGAGTGTCTTAACTAGGGTTACTCTGGCTGTGCTGAAACACTATAACCAACACAACCTGTAAAAGGGAAAATTTAGTTCAGGCCTTCATTTCCATTTCAGAGGGTTAGGCTGTGATCATGCGGGAGGGAATACGGCAATCAGCAAGCAATACTGTTGGAGTAATAGCAGAGGCCTTACGTCCTGCTCTGCAAGCAGAAGGTAGAGAAAGGGCTACAGTAAGCCTGGCGTGGGCTCTTGAAATATGAAAGCCCAACTCCAATGGCACAACTCTTCCCACAAGGGCGCACCTCCTCCAACAAAGCCACACTTCCTAATCCTTCCAAAAGAATTCCACTAACTGTGAAAAATGGCATTCAAATATATAAGACTATGAGGACCATTCTCATTCAAATTATCACACACAGGAATACAGTTCAAGTGAATAAGTAATCCAGTATAGTTTAACTGGTTGTAATCTGTTGTGAAGAATAAATGGTATCGGGCCAAAAATGTTTATTATTAGCCCTGTGATTGTTACAGCAGTATTATCTAAACTGCTATCACAATCAATAAGATACCAGTTAGATTTTATAATTGTCTTATTTACCTTGGGATGGGCAGATATTCTACCTACTCTATCTCATATTTTCCAGCCCCATTCCATGCTATCTGCCTTAACACTCCTAATTGAGCTACCTCAAAAATCCCAAACACTGGCTTATGTTCTTTATCTGGGTCACCTTCTCCATCCACACCATTCTTGGGGTCACTCCTTCTGGCCCACATGGTTCTCTCTTCGCCTAACCTGTGGAAGCTTCCTCCTTCTTTTTTTCTTCCTATCTGTCTCCTTCCCATAATTCTTATGTCCCCAAAGCCTGTGACATGCCTACATCCTTCCACTCTGCCCAGGTATAGGCCTTTTAATCAACCAATCAGGGATAATTTTGGGGAATATCCCTTCTCATCACTTGCTTACAGGAGATAGTTCAACGATGTAACAATATCCATGGCAGGGTGGTAACCAGATCTCAAAGCATTGAAATCCTCATTGGAATACATAGCACCAGAACAACAATTAAAATTAATCTTAAAGTTATACCCACAAACCTAAATTTCCTAATTTCTGACAGAGTTATTGGTGCCTTAAGCAAGACTCAGTCCCTTGTGCCTTTTGTCTTTTAGGCACTGTCAGTGGTGATGAGGGGAGATGCAAAGTTGTGTCCTCACCTGAGAGTGGTCCCACAGTGCTTCTTACATGAGTGATGTACTTAAGACCTCATGCAGAGCTCAAGCTCTCAGGAAAGCACCCATGTGACATAGTAGTCCATTATTCCTCTGTTGAAAAAAAAAAAAGGTTTTGTTTGATATGAGTTTTCTGTACATTTTTTTTTTCTTTTCTATTTACACTTGCCACAACTTCAAAGCACCATCTATGACAGCTTGGAAATATGACATTAAATCAATGGCACATGTGTTTAAGAAGTGCAGCTCAAGCTATGTGCCTGAGTTTGACTTGTTGATGTGTTTTTCACAAATTTAGTGACCCGGTGTATATCGCTACACTGCATGCAAAAACATTTAAAAACAATAGGTGTAGTTAGAATAGACCTAAACAATATGAATACTTTGTGTCCAGGGTATTCTAAATCCCTATTTTCTCATTAGTCGAGAACGGTCCCACTATGCCATCCTTTATTCAAAGAGAAACCCGCACACCCAGGCAACAAGCCACTGAAGCCACCAGCCCAGGAATCTCAGGTAATTCCAAACACAAAAGCTGCTGGGAACATGGTGGGAAGATCATTGAAAGTTTGGTTGCATTTCCCAGATTGCCCTTGAAAGCTGCAGCACGTTAGAATCCAGTGATCTTGTTTGCCAGGTTCTACAGGGGTACCTACGAGAACCATCTCAGGAGAAGGCAAGGGAAGCTCACCTGGTACACCAGGCTCTGTGACCTCAAGCACTGTTACAGCATCAGGTAAGACTTCAGAGGCTGTGAAGGGAGGCAGTGCATAGTTTGGCCATGGGATTGAAAGAGGACTGGACACATTGTATGCCTTTGGACCTAGAGCATCAGTAGTTCCCGGGATCATCTTAGAATATCATGTCTGTGAGCTGAGCCTTTTTTGTTAGTAAGACATTTTGGTAATTACTGATCAGTTAGGGATGCACTTACTTATTCTTTTTATCTTCCAGCTCACTTGATCGCACTTCATTTAAATGTATTCAATGAGTCTGATTGTCTAATAAGAGTAGAAATTCCACTGTCTAGCATGAGACCATTTCTTTAGTGTAAGCGTTGAACTACTTTTCCTTGTTATGTGAAGTAGCCCATGATCTGATTTTATTTTCCTGTATTTATTTTATTTTTGCTTAGAAGGGTCTTTCTCCTTCTCTCTTCTTTTTTCAATCCTTTATTCCCTCAATCCCTAGGTTCCTCTCTGTCTCCATTATTCCCTTTTGTTTTTTCATCAAGGTTTGAACTAGGGAATTTTCTCATGGTAAGCAGCCAGTTCCTTTTCTGGTCTTAATAAACAAACCCAAAACAAGCAAGCAAGCCAACAAACAAACAAGAAAAGTAGGTATAGCTTGGTGCTAACACATATATCTTCAGCTTTCCAAATGTCTTCTCCCCACCATCCCCACACACATGTGCCCCCCAAAAAAACAGAATACCATTTAAGTTTAAATTTTACCTAAATAAGAAAGCTTTTTATTATATTATGTTCCATGCAAAAACTGGAGTGTGTTTTGCTCCTATTTACATATGATTCACCTTTACTTGATGGTTTGTCTTTTTCTTTGTGAGATCTGGGACTACAGGCAGGCTAAGCACCTTTTCTCCCATCCATGTTCTGGCATATCTTATAATTTCATTTTTCTATATAGCTGAAAAATCTTATTTATAGTTTACCATATTTTTACTATAACTTTTCTGTTAACAGACATCTAGGCTGACTAGTTCTTTTTGCTGTCATAAAACAAACAGTGTTGGATATACAATTGTCTCTGTAAAAGAACATACAACTCTTTGGGTTTCTACCCAGAACTCACTTTTAGATAAGGGGTATGGTTAGTTGGAGTTACAAAGAATATATTTATTCTATTTCGAGAAGACTATCTTACCATCATATGACAAGGCTGGTCCTTAATTAATGTCTCAACACATAAGAAAATACCACATTATTTTAGGGCTATACTGAATTTCAGAGACCTCAAAGACATATATATATATATATATATATATATATATATATATATATATATATATGTATATATGTATATATATGTATATATAATATATATATGCATATATATTAGATGCTTGGAAAACATAATCGAAAATAGTTTCTAAACTTAGAATCTTTTTCTGAAAAGGTGGCAAAGAAGAAAAATGAGCCTACTGGATGAATATTAAAGCAGGGGGACATGCATGCTAGTCTACTGAAGGACCATGCAGCCAAGTGGACACAATCCATTGCATTCATGTCCCCAGTCTAATCAATAGAAGTCCTCAAGTCAGAGACCTTAACAGAATCATTTGTTAAAAACAGGTCACACTAAATTCACCTTTGGAAAGAATGCATGTGGATGCCCCGTTCATCAATCTATGGAGAACTTTTCTTATCTGAACTCTTAGATATTGTGTCTGTTTCAATGTCCAACTAGCTGGCTAAATATTTCCTAATATCAGAAATGCTTTTATTAAAAGCACAGATTAATTTCGTGACAAAACCAGCTCAATCCTGAATGTGCACCTGTGGTCACAAAGAATAGCAACACATAGGCTCAAGGCACTAATGGGGTTTTGTTATAATTAAGACGGGACATTGGTAGATGCTTAAACTAGAATATATAGGCATTTCTATTGACCACAAAGAGGGATATATAGTTTTTAAGTGGAGACGACAGCAAGTATTCCATAGAATAAAAAGGGTTTCGTTAGGAAGCGGGATGGAGATTTCCCACAGTAGAGTTAAGATGCCAGCAAGGACATCGAAAGAGGGACATATGGGAAGATCCCATCAGTAGCAGAATATCTATCTATCTATCTATCACGTAGGACTAAGGGCCAGAGGGAAACTGTTCTTTCTTGGAAGAAAACTACTGGAGAATATCAGAGATCATCAAGTGAAAACATGATGTTCAAAGAATGAGGGTTAGAGCACGCATAGAAAGATAACTGAGCATCCAGGGAAAACACTGACCTTATGTAGAAGAGGGGAAGACATTCCAAGATGTGGAGGGATCCCTGTGCAGCTTGGGTATCAAAGGAAGTAATGAAGGATATGAAGAGAAGGTTCTATTAATGGAAGACAACAGTTAATAAGGAAAGGACCTACTTATGAAAGATCCCTTTCCTATAAGAATGTAAGAGGGAGCCCTTGCTCTGAGAAACATGGTCCATACCAGAATCCAATCTGCCACTACAAAGGTCCCCTGCTACTATGCCACTACAAAAACCAAATCCAGAATAAGGAAAAAGAAAACTCCAATGCCTGTGTGTAATTTTGCATAGTTATTCTTGTGCATAAATTTAAATTTTCAGCAACAGCAAACAAGTTCTAAACAATATAAGTCACGAAACAATATAACAATGAATCTTTAGCAGATATTTTAAATAAGAAATAAAGATGTGTAAATTATGAATTAGAAAACTTATGGTAAAATATGTGTGAATACTAGAAATATCAAATAGCAACTGATGAAAACCAAAGTAGCGAGTTGGAGAGAAATAAAATTTATGTTAATCATGAAGGCCAAATAGCAAATTCCCCTACAAGGAATCAAAAACACTGAAAATATAGAAAAGGGATATGGGGAAGAGAATAGAACTGAGTGAGAAGATTCCTTCTGGCCAAACATTGCAAATACTCTTTTTAATATAATTTTTATTTATTACAATTTATTTACTTTGAATCCCAGCTGTAGCCCTACCCTCATGCCCTCCCAATCCTGTCCTCCCTCCCTCATGTCCTCCCATGCCCTTCTCCTGTCCACTAATAGTGGAGGACCTCCTCCCCTTCCATCTGACCCTAACCTATCAGGTCTCATCAGGACTGTCTTTCATAGTCTTCCTCTGCGGCCTAGTCAGGCTGCTCCCCCATCAAGGGGGAGTGATCAAAGCACAGAGATAGCCCATAGCAACCAGTCTCCAAATGGGGAGACTGGGGCTGCAAATACTCTTAATATAATTTTTTTTTTCACACAGTGTCTCCGACTCACACAGATGAGACAGCCTAGGACTGGCTGTATATTCCTGGCTGGCCTTAAACTCAATATAGTTCTTTCTCTGAAACTTCTGGTTATAAGTATAAGCCAATCGGGTCAGTTTCTCAGACACTTCAAACAAAGACAAAATGGATTATAAGATGATGCAGTTATCACAGGAAACAGACAAACACATACAACATATGTGTTATGCAAATCAAGATAAGGAAAATATCAGTGAATAAGACCTATCACTTTTAGGTAAATCAGAAGAAACATTAAAAAATAAAACCCAAAACCTTTAAATGTACATATAGAAATAACTCACCTTAGAAGAAGCATTATAATAGTGACTTCTGTAATTCATAAAATATTTCACTTGAAGCATAAAGAAATAAACTGTCTGGGGACCAATAAAGGGAGAGAGGTAAGGGAGTAAGACATAGAGGAAAGGGGAAGAAGGAAGAGAGTGGAGGGAGGATGTAAGGAAGGGAGGAAGAAAGATAGAGGGAGGGGAAAGGGCAGGAGCAGGATTGGAGGGAGGAAGAAGGGATGTCAGGTTCATATGAGATCTGCCAACAGCAGAGCAGCATCTATAATATACCAATGAGATGAAAATGGAAGCCAAGGGTTTATACCCACTTAAGCATAGCTCAGGCATCCATTCCGTAGAAAGCAGCTAAAACCACAAAAGAACTTGAGACAGGAGATATTTGTAATTTTACTTGGAAGATCCATGCAAGCAATAAAGAGACACTGACATTTTGAACTGAGGCTCTGAAACTAGAAGGGAATGAGGTAGAGGCAGGAGCATGATGTGTGGATGTCGCATATTTGGGCCAATTAATGAGAAAAGAAGTCATGAGTTTGAACGAGAGCAAGGAGGGCTATATGGAAATTCTTGGAAGAAGGAAAGGGAAGGGAGAAATGGTGTTATGCTATTAAAAGTGAAAGAAAAATATATGACAGACAGAATTTAAAAAAGAGGAAAGTTAGATAAATGTTGCTAGGTAACACGAAGTAAGTGGCCAAATGAATTATTAAGAGT